CCATGTCCTGATTCTTGTTAAGTTATTTCATCATCTTCACACTAATATGTCTAGACAGCGAGGTGGAAAACCCCAGACTAATACGTCTGAGGTGGAAAAACACCAATTTCTTTAACAACATACTTTGGGCGCCACCTAGTAATTGAAATAACTGATAAAAAAAATGTTCACAAAAGCAGCAGCTATGCGGCATTCCTCGTCTCTGGCTCATATTTCCGATTTTTCTTACACAAGCACTAAACATCCTTGATCTAAATATCAGCTAATCAACCTCAAATTAAAGCTCATTTGATTGGGCAGAAATATATCCTGCTTCTTAATTTGAAACAAGGATACATAGAAGACCATTGTGACAGGATGTTTTTGTTGGGATTTGTGCATTCTAGCTTAAGAGATTTTTACATAATATGAAATGGGGTTTAATGTCCTACTTTTCTGCACTGACTGGATTAATGAAGAAGGACATAAACCATGCAGTATGCTATGATGGAAATTTCGCCATGACAGCAGTGCTACGGCCCATTCTTATTTCAAATTCCAGCTGTCAAAATGTGTACAGTGGACCTCAGTTTTTTATCCTATCTGAACAACTAGACAGCTGTCCTTGCCAGACCCTCAAAAAATTTTGCATTGAATCAGTTGACACACACATCTAATACTATCAGAATCCACTTGATCATACATGAATATTGACTCATATTATCATTTCCAATGTCAACTGTTGATTGGTCCACTGTTGATTCGTTTATGCTACCTTAGACAGTTTATATTGAATCACATGACACTCACCTCTGACACTATCAGAATTCAGGTGGTCAGACGTGAATATGGTCATGTAGTGTCAGTTCCACTGTTCATTTGTTGGTTGGTCAAACTCATTGTAATCACTCCTACTGTTCTCCTCCAAACTGGGCTAATGAAGTGTGCTATGAGATGAGGGAAATTTGACAAATGCATTGATCGAACACTCGACTTCCAGGCTAGCGAGCTAACGCCTTACCCACTTAGCCACCATGACCCCAATCATTCAAAACGAATAAAAATCAAATGGGGTTAAACATCCTATTTTTCTGCACCCATCCGGCTATTGAAGACAATACATGCTCCATGTTGACCTAACAATGGTGCTACGGCCTACATTTATTTCTTATTTCGTAATCCAACTGTCAAGGTTTCTTTTTCCATGGGAAACCATGCTGAAAAATTTAATCTTCCAACCCTGAGATCGAAACCCATATCTCATGGTGGCTCCTAATATACATATACCACTATCAAACTTTATCTTCACTCTTCATCTTTTGAGCAAGTTATTGTCCCCCGCCTTTCGAAAAAAGCAGGGGGAATATTAAAATGGGTTCGTCCGTCTGTCTGTCCGTCAGTCTGTCTGTCTGTCAGTCACACATTTTGGGACACAATAACTCTTTTTCTAATTGAGCTAAAATGTTCAAACTTGGTGTAGTTGTTTATTAGGTCAATGCCTTGATGGAGTTCGAAGATGAGCATTTTCGAATTAGGGTAATCAGAGATAAGCAATTTGATTGGTTGATGCTTTGGGACACGATAACTTTAGTTTTAATTAAGTGAGAGTGATGAAACTTGGTGTATAGTTTCATTACATCAATACCTTGACTAAGTTTGATAAAGAGCATTTTCTGCTGAGGGTAAGCAGAGCGATTAGCAATTTGATTGGCCGAGACCTTGGAACACAATAACTCTCCTAATTGAGCTAGAATCTTCAAACTAGGTGTAGGTGTTTATTAGGTCAATGCCTTGATGGAGTTTGAAGATGAACATTTTCTGCTTAGAGTAAGCAGAGATAAGCAATTTGATTGGTTGATGCTTTTGGACACGATAACTTTAGTTCTAATTAAGTGAGAGTGATGAAACTTGGTGTATAGTTTCATTACATCATTACCTTGGCTAAGTTTAATAATGAGCATTTTCTGCTCAGGGTAAGCAGAGCGAAAAGCAATTTGATTGGTCGAGACTCTGGAACACAAAAACTCTCATTCTAATTGAGTTAGAATGTTCACACTTGGCATAGGTGTCTATTAGGTGAATGCCTTGATGGAGTTCGAAGATGAGAATTTTCGGCTTAGGTTAAGCAGAGATAAGCAATTTGATTGGTTGATATACATGAGACACAATAACTTTAATTAAGTGAGAGTGAGGACACCTGAAGAATATCTTTATTACATCAATACCTTGACTAAGTTCGATTATGAATATTTTCTGCTGAGGGTAAGCAGAGCGATAAGCAATTTGATTGGTCGAGACATTGGAACACAATAACTCTCCTTCTAATTGAGGTAGAATGTTTAAACTTGGTGTAGGCGTTCATTAGGTGAATGCCTTGGTGGAGTTTTATGATGAAGATTGTCTGCTTACGGTAAGCAGAAATAAGCAATCTGATTGGTTGATGCTTTGAGGCACGATAACTTTGGTTATAATGAAGTGAGAGCGATGGAATTCCGAATATTGATTCATTATATCATTACCTTGACTAATTTCGATGGTGAGGATTTTCTGCTTAGGCTAATGAGCGATAAGCAATTTGATTGGTCAAGACTTTGGAACATAACAACTCTGCTTTTAATTGAGGTAGAATGTTTAGACTTGATGTAAATGTTCATTAGGTGAATGTCTTGACTGAGTTCAATGATGAAACTTAGTGTATAGTTTGATTGCTTGATACTTTTGAAAAAAAAAAATGTACAATTAATTAATGTGTGTCATCTATTTATTTTGGGATTTCAGCGGGGGACATCAGCCTTACTGTTGCCTTGTTGCCCCTGCCATTGAAACCTTGTAAACACTCTACAGGGCAGAGTTTGTGTTAAAATAAACTGGGCTTATTCAACTACTTATTGTCATGAACTCAATTTATATTCAGATTTGAATTTCTGTTATTTACTGAGTTATTGTCCCTATCATGGAAATACTCTACAGGTCAAAGGTTTTTTTCCCAAACTTGCTGTAACTATTTAAATCTTTCATAAGGATGAGTCTTTTGAAAGTTATTGCCCTTGAAATCAATTTGCATATATAGGTTATATAGGTTGTTTGTGGACTCTCTACAGGTCACAGTTCTTGTCTGATTTTTACGAAACTTGAAATATTGGTTTATCCCCAAAAGATCTCGGCTGCTTTCCATATTGGCATGTATCGGATTGAAACTTCATGGATTATGGCCCCTGTTTGTACGAAAAATCACGTTTTTAGCTTGTGGACCCTATAGAGGTCACAATTTTTATCCGATTTTGTTGAAACTTGAAATGTAAGTTTATAACCCAAAAATCTCGGTTCCTGTCGATATTCGCGCATATCGGACAGTAACTTCCTGAATTATGGCCCCTGATTTTACGAAAAATCGCGTTTTTAGCTTGTGGACTCTATAGAGGTCATAATTTTTATCCGATTTAAAAAAACGTATTATTATGTCACCGTTACACCCTAAGGACGACTGAGTTCGAATTTCGTGAAAATCGGCCCAAAATTGACAGACAAAATGTCCGCCCTACGTTCTCAAATAGTGTAAAAATGTGGTATATCAAGGTTGTGGACCCTATAGAGGTCACAATTTTTATCCGATTTTGTTGAAACTTGATATGTAAGTTTATAACCCAAAGATCTCGGTTCATTTCAATATTCGCGCATATCGAACCGTAACTTCCTGAATTATGGCCCCTGATTGTACGAAAAATCGCCTTTTTAGCTTGTGGACCCTATAGAGGTCATAATTTTTATCCGATTTAAAAAAACGTATTATTATATCACCGTTACACCCTAAAAACAGCTGAGGTCGAATTTCATGAAAATAGGCCCGAAATTGACAGACAAAATGACCGCCGTACGTTCCCAAATAGCGTAAAAATATGGTATATCAAGGTTGTGGACCCTATAGAGATCACAATTTTTATCCGATTTTGTTGAAACTTGAAATGTAATTTTATAACCCAAAGTTCTCGGTTCCTTTCGATATTCACGCATATCGGACCTTAACTTCCTGAATTATGGTTCCTGATTGTACGAAGAATCGCGTTTTTAGCTTGTGGACCCTAAAGGTCATAATTTTTATCCGATTTAAAAAAAACGTATTATTATATCACCGTTACACCCTAAGGACGACTGAGTTCGAATTTCGTGAAAATTGGCCCAAAATTGACAGACAAAATGGCCGCCGTTCGTTCTCAAATAGCGTAAAAATATGGTTGTGGGCCCTATAGAGGTCACAGTTTTGATCCGATTTTGATGAAACTTGAAATACATATTTATAACCCAAAGATCTTGGTTCCTTTCGATATACGCACATTTTGGATCATAACTTCCTGAATTATGGCCCTTGATTGTACGAAAAGTTGCCTTTTTAGGATGTGATCCCTCTAGATGTCACAATTTTTATTCGATTTTAAAAAAACGTTTGAATATATCCCTGTCAAACCCTTATGATGGTTGAGTCCGAATTTCGTACAAATAGGACCAAAACTGCCGGACAAAATGGCTGCCCCTCGTACGCAAATATTGTAAAAATATTGTATATCAAGGTTTTGGACCCTCTAGAGAGTGGACACAATTTTGATCCGATTTTGATGTAACTTGAAATACATATTTATAACCCAAAGATCTTGGTTCCTTTCAATATTCATGCATATCGGATTGTAACTTCCTGAATTATGGCCCTTGATTGTACGAAAAAAAATCACTTCTTTTTTTGAGCTTGTTCTCTGTCCATCTCTTGCAAAATGTGGGCGTATCTTGCATGGCAACCGCTTGTTTCAATTGCCCTTGGATTTCTTTTTTCAAATTTTCTGAAACTCTGGACAATACATTCATTTAGTGGCAACCTTCATAAACCGGTCCATATGACTAAGCTGAAGGTGAATGTATGTTCCGTTGCCGGGTAACCCACCTTTAAATCTGTTTTTATAATCTTCCGTATTTCTCACTATTCATTAAACAAATTAATTATTACATGAATGACATTTAATTTAACATTACAGAAACATCATTACCGTTGTCAAGAATTTCAAGTTAAATGTAAATTTTGTGGATTGGAAATGGCGAGGAAGAAGGTAAATATTTCTTTTTAACATTGTCAACTTTCAGGGAATGTAGCTCATTGACGTGTGTTCTCTAAGTATCGGAACTGAATACAAATTCTTGGAATGGATCTTCAACACTTTATTTCAGGAGCAAATAACAGCAACAATTAAACACCTTATAATTTCCAAAAATCAGATCTCCAACTAGTATATGTTCCATAAGCTGGCCCTCCAACTAATGATTCATCTTACATACATTTGTCTTTTTATATTGTGGTCTGAACCCATCTGTTTAAATAATGATAAGAGTTATGTCCCTCTATTTTCGGTAAGAATATCTGACAAGAACATTTTTGAAATAGCAACACTGGTCAGGGCCCTTATTCACGAAAACTTAAAACTAAGATACAATCGAAATTTTAAGAAATACTGCAATTCGATTGGCTGACCAGTAAAATCAATTTGCATATATCCAATGAAGTTGCAGTATTTCTTAAAATTTTGGTTGTAACTTAGTTTAAGTTTTCGTGAATAAGGGCCCTGGTCTAGATATGTTTGAAAACAAAGAAATTGTAAAAAATGAAAACTATGCCTAGTAATGAAATTGTAACCAGAAAGTCCATGATAATGTTATTTTTATATACTGGTAAGTTATTTATATTCTGAAAGCCAATTTATGTAGGATTATTTAACTTTATAGTAGAGTCAACAAGAGTTGTCTTATTAATATTAATCTGATAATTGTTCATATTGCAGATACAACAACATGAGAATTGTGATTGTGAAAAGGCTGTTGTAAATTGTATGTTTCAACCATTAGGATGTGAAGAAAAGGTATGTAACAAACTCTACAATATTTGATATGACAATGAAAGCAAGGATCTTTATTACCGATCATTGCATTCCTACTGATGTTATTTGGGGGGATGGCTGCATGGTTAAGCGTGCACGTTGCATCATAAGGTCTGTCATTGAGTCAACTGGTGTGGTTTCTATTCACTGGTTGTACAGGGCAAGCGAATTATTAAAATAAAATTAAACCATATGTTAGTCCCGAAATGACCTAGTTTGTGTCGAGTGGACGTTAAACTCCATTTCTATCTCTCTCCCTACTGATGTTATCATTCGTTTGGGTATTAAAATCAACAATAGCATGAGGCGGTGGCGGGGGAAGGATGTTAGCTAGGTCGCTGAATGGTGTAACATATGCACTTTAGATCAAGAGGTCTGTCATTTAGTCAAGGAGTAGTGTAGCCTTTCACAATATTGAAGTTTGCAAGGGATCCCTCAAATAATGACCATCCATACACTTTAGCTGACTAGTCCTTCGGATGAGACGAAAAACCAAGGTCCCTTGTATATATTGGAATGCACATAAAAGATCCCCTGGCAGTTGGAATTCGATATAAGAGTAGGCGATAGTGCCGCTGCCCGGGCAAAATTCACCTCATAGCACACTGTATGGCGTATGCCCGTCTTCATTAGCCCAGCATAGGGGCAGAACAGTAGGACGTTAAACCCCATTTCATTTCATTTCATTTCTTTAGATCATAAGGTCTGTCATTGAGTCGAGTTGCTTGGGTTTGTGCTATGTGACAAGGCATAAGGGTCACCTGTCCAACCTTGTGGTTATCTCCATGTCCTTTGGTTTTCTGCCAACTGTGAAAGACCATATGTTAGTACCAAAATGACTTAGGGAACGTTAAACCCCTAGCTCCTTTTTTTTCTTTGTAAGAATATAATTTCAAGGGTCACCTGTCCAACCTTGTGGTTATCTCCATGTCCTTTGATTTTCTGCCAACTGCGAAAGACTATATGTTAGTACCAAAATGACTTAGGGAACGTTAAACCCCTAGCTCCTTTTTTTTCTTTATAAGAATATAATTTCAATTTGTCTGACATTGCTGTGCATTTTTCAGATGCAGAAAAATTTATCTAAAGAGCATATGAATACAGCTACATCGGAACATCTTGAGTTACTGTGTGGTAAAGTTATTCAGATAAGTCGGTGGTTGAGCATTCCACCTGGACGTCACTTCTTTATGACGGGTGAGAGTGACACGACATCTAGTATGCACGCTACACAGGTATCGGAGGACATGCTAGTTAATATTTCTCCAGTTCTACAACAATTAAATCTGACAACTCATCAAACTGCCTTGAAATCGCAAGATGAAAATGCTCTCAAACATTCATCGAATATGGACGAAGCTCTTTTGAGCTATACATCCAAACCATCGAATAACGAAGACATGTATGGCATGACAAACTTACAGAGTTATAAATCAACCATTTACGAAAATGATTTCAAATCGCTACGACAACAGAATAGTCTTCAGGATGAGAGTCTGGCGCGACACACCCAGGAACTCACTGAGATGCAAGAAAAATACAGAAACATGGAGAGAATGAATCGTGAATTAAAACTAAAGATGAGATCTTTAGAAAATAATATTGCTGAAATGGACGGACGTTCTTGTAATGGGATTTATATATGGAAGATAAAGGAATATTATAAACTTAAACGTGAGGCTCAACAAGGTGATACAACGGCCATACATAGTCCGCCATTTTATTCTAGTTACTATGGATACAAGTTGTGTGTGCGCGTTAACCTAAATGGTGTGGATAATGCAAAAGGCGTCTGCCTATCTGTGTTTGTACATTTTCTGCAAGGAGAATATGACGATATTTTGGAATGGCCTTTTAATGGAAGAATAATACTTTCAGTTCTGGACCAAAATTCCATTTGTGAATACAGAAGGCATATTGTCGAAACTTTAATGGCTAAGCCAACTTTAGCTGCATTTCAAAAACCTACCACACCTCGTAACCACAAGGGATTTGGTTACATGGAGTTTGTTCCCTTAGCTGCTTTGGACAGCGGACATTTTATTAAAAATGACACATTAATTATAAAAGCTCATGTCATACCAAATGGATAAATAAACCAAAAAAATAAATAAATGAAATTTAATGACTACTTAATGTGTACAAATCTACAGTTTTCTCAATATCTAGCTATTATGCAATCTGATTACACTAGGGACCGGGTATCATTCAGATTTGATGAAAAAAGGAAAGAAACTGAGCTTACCATCTATAATCTAATACACATATTCACTTAATAGATTGCCATGCAGAAAGTATTAAATACCATCAAGATTCATCAAATAATGCCCAGTTTGTGCTACCGTTTAGTTTGACATCGGTTGTCTAGTTTATGAAACTAAATGGTCATAAACTGGATGACCAATATCAAAACTAAACTAAATGGTCATAAACTAGATGACCGATGTCAAAACTAAATGGTGTTTCTTAAACTAAACGGTAGCAAAAACTGGGCATTATTTCATGAATCTTGATGGTATTTAATACTTTCTGCATGGCAATCTATTAACTGAATACGTGTATTAGATTATAGATGGTAAGCTCAGTTTCTTTCCTTTTTTCATCAAATCTGCATGATACCCGGTCCTTAGTGTTAAAACCCATATCCTATTTCGTTTTTTATAGTTCAAAATTTCATTTTACTTGTCTTTACCACACTAAGATCTTGAAGAGCTGTTATATAACAAGGGTTCTAGTTGATGTGGGAGATTAGCCAATGAAACAGTCTGTTGCAGCAAGTTCTTGGCGTGTGATGCACTGAACTGTGGATTTCCTACCAGAAACATCAATGCTGATTGGTTAAACAAATGCCTGATGTCATAGGGTCAAAAGCTGCTCGTATGACCCCTGACATGACCTCCCACTACAACTGGTCAGATGTTCATGTAGTACAGGCCATCGAATGTATAAAAAAAGGAAATGAAATATAGATCTGTATTATAATCAGATTGACTATTATGAAATATGTTTGGAACAATAAACTATAACACATAGTTATGGAAGAACAATTATTAATTTATTGAACTACATTTCACAATAAATTATCAGTTGTTCTTCAATAAATGTGTTATTTTGTAATAGTTTATTGCTCTGTCCAGTTACTAAATACCTCTATAGGATTATTATGTTTGAAACCTTGCCTGCTTTGGTCAACCTTGTATTTTGGGGTGAAAAAAAAAATCAGAATTTAAAGATCATCTAAAATTGTTGTTCCAATAGTCTTAATGTCAAGATAAGCCTGTTTCCCAATATTGTTTATTTTAAAATGACAGTGGAGAGTCAAATATAATACATATTTCTTCTTAAAATTAGAATTATCTTGCACATTTTTTAAGCCAATAAAGAGGAGTTATATAGACATTGTTTCAAAGTATTGTTCCAAAAATTATAAAAGTAAGATTGAAAGCATTACAAGCATTCTGAAAGTAACTAGTATTGGTTTTCTGGTTAGCTTTGTATCGGTTAAAATTATTTTTTTAACTGTACTAGTGTGTTCTATAAAATTCAAGCGAAAGAAGGTGAGAATGTACAATTATTTTGACATACATCTTGACGGTATAAAGCTATTAATTACCAACTTTCTTCCACTCTGTGTTTCAGTCCTTAATGTTTAGCGCAATTTTCACAATATAACAAGGAATTCAAAAACCCCTCAATGCTTGGAATTTATGAATAAGAAGAAAATAACGTTTATCTGAATCTTTCACCATTTGTTCTTTCAAATCATCAAGTGTAGAAGCAGATTGAATTAATTATACATAATTACGGTATTTTTAAATTTTAAAATATGTTTTATATGTAGGCAATCACAAATCATTGAAATTGAAATTCATTTTAGTATGACTCAAACTGTAGTAAGATTGTTGCACGTGGATCTAACAATTTAATTTTTTTATTTGTAGAAGTAGTTTGTTAATTATAATTGTTTTTAATTTAAGATCATTATAATTGTTCTTGATTCATTAGAATTATTATAATTGTTTTTAATTTGTTAAGATCATTATAATTGTTCTTGATTGATTCATTAAAATTATTATAATTGTTCTGGATTCATTAAGTCTGTTATAATTGTTCTTGATTCATTAAAATGATTCTAATTGTTCTTGATCCATTAAGACTGTTATAATTGTTCTTGATTCATTAAAATGATTCTAATTCTTCTTGATTCAGTAAAATGATTATAATTGTTCTTTATTCATTAAACTTATTATAATTGTTCTTGATTGAACTGGTTGATTTGAAACCCTTACAAGTGTGTTAGGTATATACAGTATAACAGTTGTTATTGGTTTTACAATAGAATTTGTAGTTTATAATAAACTATTCATATATACTAGAGGGTAATAGCAGAAAATGTGCTTAACAATATTTTAACCTGATAGTTGCATTTTTTAAAGTCAAATGGTTAAAATATTTTCAAGCTAAGTCTTAAAAAAAACATGGATTCTGTACAGACAGAGTCCTACCTTGTTAAAAAATAATCTCATTAATCCTATAATTCACTATTGGCAAATATATCATTTTCAACATGAAATGTCAATGTTGAGCTTTGCCTTTTCCATGTAGCGTATAGAAACAAGGGAGGTAATTTTGCGACTATTTTCTGTGTTAATACTATTTTAAATGCTAGAATGATTCCTATGATTGTATGATAGTGATTTGAAAACCTGTTAAGCAATAAATATAGAAATAATTATGTTTAGACTTTTTTTTTAAAATATGTAACATTTGTGCATAAAATACAAGATTTAAATGCAAAAATAAAGGTGATGCGTTAAAGTTACATTTTCATATTTTTAAGTTATATTTTTAAAATGTATTAAAATAAAGCCCTAAAATAGATGGTATCTATAAATAGTCCTACCTTGTTAAAGAACAATCCTATAATTCACTATTGCCAGTTGAGAAATTGGCAAAAATATCATTTTCAACTTCAAATTCAAACGTTTAAAGATAGCTTTAAATGGTGGGGGAATAGTAAAACAAGGGAGGTAATTGTGTTATTATTTCTGGTGTGAAGAATTTTAAGTGTGAGAAAGATAACCTATGATTGTATAATAGTGAATTGACAACCTATTGAGCAAAAGACATAGAAATAATTATGTTTTGACTTTCTTAGAAAATATGAAATTGTAACTTTAAATTACTTTGCTGCCGCTTTTTATAGTTTCCAGGCACGCTTTTTATAGTTTCCAGGCACGATGTATCATAAAGTCTGTCATTGAGTCAAGCATGGTTTTGATTCCCCAGTTGTACTGACAAGTAGTAGGGTTGCCTCTCCGATTTCCTTCCACTGCTAAAAAAACCCTACATGCCAGCGAAATATTGAAATAAAATTGAACCATGTGTTAGTCCCGAAATGACCTAGTTTGTGTCAAGTGGACATTAAACCTCATTTCTCTCTCTCCCCTTTTTGTATTGAATTAGAATATTTGAATACCTGTGATAATTACCCTGTACTATATATGTATAATATAATGTATTCTTCGATTGGAGGTAATTTATAATAGAATTGTTTTAGAAAGAATCCATCACTGTTTATATTATATTATTACTTTTACATAAAATTTAATATTTAACAGTGTATCTTGTAGTTGAAATTTAATATTTAGCAGTGTATCTTGTACATGTACAGAAGTTGAATATTTAACAATGTATCTTGTACATGAATCTTAATATTGGACAGTGTATCTTGTACATGAAGTTTGATATTGGACAGTGTATCTTGTACATGAAGTTTGATATTGGACAGTGTATCTTGTACATGAAACTTAATATTGGACAGTATATCTTGTACATGATGTTTAATATTGGACAGTGTATCTCGTACATGAAGTTTGATATTGAACAGTGTATCTTGTACATGAAGTTTGATATTGGACAATGTATCTTGTACATGAATTTTAATATCAGACAGTGTATTTGTACATTAAGTTTAATATTGGACAGTGTATCTTGTACATGAATTTTAATATCAGAAGTTTAGTATTTAACAGAGTATCTTATACATGAAGTTTAATATTTAACAGTGTATCTTGTACATGATGTTTAATATTTCAAATGTATATCTTTAAATAAACAATTTTAGAATATATGAAATGAAATTCATCCCCTTAATTTGATAGTACTTTTGTTGTTTATTACTTGTTGTGTCTTGTATGCTGGTTTGTCTTATTGTATAGGGTCTGGTAAGGAACAATGTATAGTTGTTTGGATAGTACGAAAAAATGAGGTCCTGTGTACATATTGGCTTGCATGTAAAAGAACCCTTGGAACAGTTGGAATTTGAAATAAGAGTAGGCTGTAGCACTTCTGTCCGGGCTGAATTTCCCTTATAGCATGGGGGGTTGGATGGCTGAATGGTTAGCGTGCGCGTGCTGTATCATAAAGTCTGTCATTGAGTCGACTGGTGTGGTTTCGAATCCCCGGTTGGACGTGACAAGGTGTAGGGTCGCCTGTCCAACCTCGTGGGTTTTCTCCGGGTCCTCCAGTTTCCTCCCACTGCTAAAGACCCCTATGCGCAAGCGAATTATTGAAATAAAATTAAACCATATGTTAGTCCCGAAATGACCTAGTTTGTGTCGAGTGGACGTTAAACCCCATTTCTCTCTCTCTCTCCCTCATAGCATACAGTATGGTGGAGGCCTGTAATCATTATCCCAGTGGATGCAGAAAAGTAGGATTGCTTGATACATTGCATATAATAAATCAAGAAGTAGTAAATCCATAAAGTTGTGTTATTATGAACTACAGTGTACACTATGAGGGAGAATTTGAGCTGAATGAAAGACATTACCATAATACTATATATTTTTTTATCTAATAATTAATAGTGCGTGCTTGAAGAATTAGTTGGGCAGTGTCAACTGTTTGTTTGGTGGAACCATGTGCTTGTCTGAAACTGTGTTGATCCAGTCCCAATGTGTCATGGAAAGTTTTTAAAATAGGCGTACAAAGGCCAGATTTTGAAAAAGCTTTGTAGAATATAGAGACATACCTGCTCTCTATGCATTCCATGGAGAATGTATCTGAAGAAACCTGTCAGAGGGCCTGACATGGCCTTCTGTCTAGTCATTCAGAAGGGATGAAAAACCTGAGGTCCCTTGTACACATTGGCATGCACGTAAAACATCTTTTGGCAGTTGGAATTCGGTATACACTATGGGCTCCATAGTGCCACTGCCTGGGCGAAATTCCCTCATACGGTATGAGCCATACCACACTGCATGGCCTATGCCTGTCGTCATTAGCCCAGATGGAGCAGAACAGTAGGATGTTAAACCCCCATTTCATTTCCTTCCAATTGAAGTAGGGGCCCAATCGTGTGAGAAACAGTGGGAGAGGGAAGCTCTGATATGCCAGGGGAGACAACTCTGTTTTATTTCATTGAAATGTAAAGTACTACAATTTAATATACTGAGCGCCATGGAAAACGCATCACTTTTTTTCCCAAATATTTTATTACTAGGTGGTTTTGTATGTATAATATTATGCAATACTATGAACTATTGTTTCACACAATGCTCCAAAACGCAATTGCACAAAAAAAATTGCACGAGATGCACATGAAAAACCCAATATTCACGTGCAGCATTGTGTGTGAGCCCTTTAAAAGCATGTTTTCAACTTAATGTACAGTACATGAACTGTGAAAGGTCAATCTGCTAGAGATGCCGAAACTAACTGAAAATCAACGGAAAGAAGCCATGGGAATGTCCAGGGCTGGCATGTCTACACGTGCTATTGCCAGACACTTCAATTGTCATCAGTCCACTATTGTAAGGTTGGTGGAACGTGTTCGAGTTACTGGATCAACAGGTGACCGTCAACATCCTGGTCCACAACGCATTACAACCCAGGCTCAAGACCGCTACATCCGGGTCACTCATCTGCGTGACAGATTCCGCCCAGCGACTCGAACAAGTGCAGCAGTCGTCGGAGGACAAGGACAAGTAAGTGCCAACCCCGTAATGGTGTGGGGAGGCTTCACATTTCATCACCGGACTGCCCTACACATTTGCAGGGATCGGGTTAATGCTGTAGCCTACCGTGATGATGTCTTACAACCAATTGTTGTTCCGATGTTTCAAGCGCACCCACAACTTCAGCACTTCCAACAGGATAATGCACGTCTGCATACCGCCCGTTTTAGTATGAACTACCTGGCTGCTAACAACATCAATGTCTTGGACTGGCCAGCCATGTCTCCGGACATGGCACCGATAGAACATGTCTTGGATGAGATTGGACGCCGTCTCTATCATGACCACATATGCACACCATTGCTGCTTTAGAAGCTGCTCTTGTCCAAGAATGGAACCATTTGCCCCAGGCCTTCTTTCAAACATTGGTAAATTCCATGCGACGTCGCTGCACAGCATGCGTAAGAGCCCGTGGAGGTCACACGCGCTACCGACATCTGTGTCGTACTTTTGGTTTTGACCTCTCTGACTTTGTACCGTTGATTACAGATTAAACATCCATAAGTGTACAAATGTGTTGTTATTGATGTGTTCCCATTTGAATATTGTTCACAATTAGAAGCAAAATAAATAAGATATGTTTACAGGATCATTTTGTTATACGAAAAACTAAGTGATTTTTCCATGGCGCTCAGTTTATTTACTTGGATTTAGTTTGATTATTTGGAATACAAAAATAAATGTAGTTTTAATTACACAAACAAAGCCAATTAAATGAAGGTAATAACTCTATAATATATTTTAATAAAGCTTTTTGTTGAACAAAAATTTCAAGCATTTTGAAAATATTACTTCCGACTTTAAAATTGATTAGTACTTGACCTGCTATGATTTGGCGGTAATACTTTTGAGTAAGGAATTGTATTTGTAACAAGAGAATTATAAATACAATGTAAATCATTTATTATAAAATATTGCATTAAGTCACACATACAAGTATAGTTAATATTTGAAAATCAACAAAAACAATACATGAAGAAAAATGGGGACACGTCAGGTCCCCTAAAACACACACAAGAAACAAAACATTGTCAATAGGGGTAAACTCTGCTATATGCCATCAGAAATTTCTGAATTTGGACTTGACAAAATCCTGAAAATATGAAAAAAATCTCAAAAAACCATCCTGTAGATTGGTTATAAGAAATTCTGATGGGAAGTCGCTGGAAGCTGACAATGGTATACTACACCTTAAATATGGATGTATAAAAAAACATAATCTGTTTATCTACATTTTCAAGCATGTATAGCTTCATATATAATCTCCTTAAAACAACCTGAATAAACAAGTGTGGTTTCAAAAATTTCTATCAACAACACCCACGAGTTCACAATAGAAAGTAATTTGGACGCAATGGTGCAAAATGCCATACAACCCAATGAAATATCCTGTGATTGTGAAAAAAAACAAACTCTTAAAGTTTCATAATCTCCATATACAAACTAGAATTATGCCCTATAAATTAATGGGAGTACATAAATTACATTGAGAAGAGGATCTATATACTGTGTTTTACAGGGTCTACAAGTTGGAGTGGACATAAGTCATATTTTACTGTTTTTCTGACAACCATCCAAAAATATATGTCAAAGTGAAACATCATCCATATATCAGAAGAAGGCTCGACTTCTGCTGAAAATGAAAAAAATATCGACTTAAACCCTGAAAAATACAGCAGTCCCAGCCACAATCCCCTTTCAAACATTATATATGAATATAAAATATTATTTTATCAAAAATATAGAGAAAACAATTAATATAATGTATCAAATATACGGATCATATATAGCTTACATTAATAGAAAACAATTAATATATCAAATATATATATAGGTACATTAATAGATAAAGAAATTGAGCAATATCAGGTAAGAGAAATAATTATTCTCGGCCAACACCAGGAGTGAACCCGAGAACTCCAGGCTAGCAAGCCAGGGATTTACTCACTGAGCCACTGCAGCTCCAACAATAAAAGGACAATCAATTCAAGTGAGTGGATCCGGGAGCCAGGCTAGTTACATATATCTTGGACATGGACAATATTAGAGTTTTATGCCTACTATAATATTATACTGCCAGTTTCATATAGCGGACAATATGAAAAATATATAAATATGTCCGTATTGGATAGAAAAAGATTTTGTAGAAATTATTGCACAAATATAATCCTAATATAAATCAGAAGGCATAAAATAAAATACAAAACACTCTAGCAGTGCTTGCTTTCTTCACAACTCAAAACAATAGGCACCTTTTCTCCTTTTTCATTGACAAAGTCCATTCCTTTGTTGTCTCTTATTCTGTTGACCGTCAAACTAGGAGTCATCTCAAAAAGTCTAATAACTACATAATATATTTTCATAAACAAAAACATGAATGTTTTCCATTTTGTTTTATAATATCAAAAGTATTAGCTGGATATAAAACATATATAACAACCTGTACGCTTTGACAATACAAATATTTTCTACTTAAAAAAAATACCAAAATAACAAATCTATCAATATATGAAGATAATAATTAAGTTACTACACAATTCATTAGAAAACCCGGTAAAATATAAAACAATTGCTGATAAGGCACAATTTTGCTTATGAATGTTTTCCATTTTGTTTTATAATATCAAAAGTATTAGCTGGATATAAAACATATATAACCACCTGTATGCTTTGACAATACAAATATTTTCTACTTAAAAAAAATACCAAAATAACAAATCTATCAATATATGAAGATAATAATTAAGTTACTACACAATTCATTAGAAAACCCGGTAAAATATAAAACAATTGCTGATAAGGCACAATTTTGCTTATCACATGTGACTGATGGACGAGTAAATCAAAAAGAATTCCACAATGCATGGACCATTTTCTTTTAAATTTAATAAAAGAGTTCAGGCGGTAGTGTATAACTGTATAGTTTAGGAATCGAGAGCCAGTCCAATTGTCTGTAAAGATTTTTTAATAGCAGGATAAACAGATGCATCTTCTATTGTAACTGGAATCTAGAATTATACAAAAGTTATAAAACATAATGGACTTTAATGTCTTTCAAATTAAGAGTTATAAAAACATAATGGACTTTAATGTCTTTCAAATTAAGAGTTATAAAAACATAACATGTTTTAATATCATTCAATATCAGAGTTATAAAGACATAACATATTGTATAATATCAAATAATTGCATCAACTATATTTCATATATATCATTTCCACACGAAACTGTATATATGTTCGGTTTCACAATTTATTACATTTAATCTTATTTTTATGTATTAGATCGTTTATTATTTTCTGTATCCTGGGAAAGAACTTATATAGGCTTTGTCTGTTCAATCCTTTTCAAATGAATACAATGGCCGAATGGGGTGGATGGCCGAATGCTTAGCATGTGCGTGCTGTATCATATGGCCTGTCATTGAGTCAACTGGCGTGGTTTCGAATCCCCGGTTGTATGTGACAAGGAGTAGGGTCACCTGTCCAACCTCATGGGTTTTCTCTGGGTCCTCCAGTTTCCTCCCACTGCTAAAGACCCCTACGCGCAAGCGAATTATAGAAATAAAATTAAACCATATGTTAGTCCCGAAATGACCTAGTTTGTGTTGAGTGGACGTTAAACCCCATTTCTCTCTCTCTCTCTTTAAATTATTCGGCCACCCAACCCCTCTGACAACTCGGGATCTTGTCTACAATTTTCTCTTATATAAGCACCCCTTATACGGAACCTTTTTTAAATGCTTAAGTGATTGTTACTTTGAACTGTAATAAAATATTACCGTAAACTCTTCTCCGACAGCCAGAGATGCAATAGTTTTTCGTGCTATTTTTCCTGATCTAGTTTTTGGTAAAGCAGGAACAATTACTGCTTTTTTAAAGGCAGCAACTGGTCCAATATTTTTTCTCACAGCAGCTATCACTTCTTCTATAATCTGACTTTCTGGTTTAGTTACACCTAAAGCATGGGTAAATACAAATAAATTAAATAAATAAATGAAATAGGGTTTTATGTCTTTTTGCACCAACCGAGGAAATGGAGACAACCAATCACCATACCGTGTGCTATGAGGGGCCACGGTGGCTCAGCAGGTAGGACGTTAGCTTGCTAATCTTTAGGTCGCATGTTCAATCCCTGTATTGACCGAGAAAGTTCATCGGTATTCTCCGGCATGGTTCTCCCTTTGTCAGGGGTGCAAGACAGACTGACGACCTGGCAAGGGACAACGTATAGTCGTTCGGATGGGATGGAAAATCAAGGTCCCATTTACCCATTAGTGTGCATGTAAAAGATCCCTTGGCAGTTGGTATTCTATATAAGAGTAGGCTATATAGTTTATAATGGAGTTTGAAAAAATAATGAATAGATTTTATTTGGGGACAAATATCATAAATGTTTACCTTTTTTAACGATACAAAGAGCAACAGGTACTTGACCCTTTAACGCATCTTTAACTCCAATCACAGCTGCCTCGGCTATGTCATCATTCTCTAATATGGCCTCTTCTAGAGCTCCTGTTGATAATCTATGACCAGCTACGTTTATAATATCATCTGTTCTAGCCATTACAGCTATATAACCATTCTCATTTATAAACCCGGAATCCATTGTATCATAATAACCCTGTAAAATATAAACACATTACAAGTATCGTAATAACCCTGTAACATATAAACAATCATTCTCATTCATAAACCCAGAATCCATAGTATCATAATAACCCTGTAACATATATATACAATGTAATCCTTTAATAAAATATCGGGGATCCACGATGGCTAAGTGGGTAAGACGCTGGCTCATTAGTCTGGAGGTCGCGTGTTCGATCCCTGCATTGACTGAGAAAGTTCATCAGGATTTTTCAGCGTGGTTTCCCGTCAGTGGTGTAGCACGGAGGGCCTGACAAGGACACCTGTCTAGTCGTTCGGATGGGATAAAAACTAGGTCTCGTGTATACATTGACGTGCACGTAAAAGATCCCTTGGCAGTTGGAATTTGATATAAGAGTAGGCCAAAGTGCCGCTGCCCAGGCAAAATTTCCCTCATAGCACACTGTATGGCATATGCCCGTCTTCATTAGCCCAGTTGGAGCAGAACATTAGGATGTTAAACCCCATTTCATTTCATTTAATAAAATATAAACAGTGCTGCCAGGCAACAAAATGAAAGGAAATGGAACTTTCTTGCATCAACTGGACTAATGAAGACCGGCATACAACATGCAGTGATTGAGCTAGGGGAAAAATTTGGCCGGCCAGAAAAATTTAAACTGAATGTTCAGAATGAATGAAAATTAAACAGTAAAATGTTTCACACCTACAGGAATTGTTTTAAAGTAGGTATCGTGGAATCGTTCATCATTTTTATACAAAGTAGAGAAAGAACTTGGTGGTAATGGCAGTCTGAAAAATAAAATAATACACACTTTAGTTGAGAATAAACGGTATAGAGTTGTGAAATTTGTCACTTGAAAGATATTTCAGTATTCAAAGAAGTTAACAGTAGTATTGCCTAAAGCTGGAAATGTGCTTCGTCTAGATCTGCTATTGTGCAAATGTAAACATTAGCACCAAACCCACAGTTCTTTTCCTACTGATATGCACCTATGGGTATTCTAGTGTCAGTCAAGTGACATAATGTATTGGATTTCTGGTGTCAGTCAGGCTTGAAAGGGAGCTGAATTTCTAGTGTCAGAGTTTACGGTAAAGAGTAAAGGGACATAATGTGTTGGATTTCTCAGACATAATGTGGAGGAAAGGGACATAATGTGGAGGAAAGGGACATAATGTGGAGGAAAGGGACATAATGTGGAGGAAAGGGACATAATGTGGAGGAAAGGGACATAATGTGGAGGAAAGGGACATAATGTGAATGTCACATTTAATCCATATAATTAGCTAGGATCTGGCTGTTACCTCAGCCATGATAAATCACACTGATACATGTACTGATGGATCTGTAATCATGGTTTAAAATGAAATTCAAATTGATGGTAAAAATGTTTATCCATTGCTATAAACAGAGGCCAGCAATTAATTACCCTATAAAAGAAAGATGTTACAAGAATTCTGGTTAAAATGACTAGGCCTCTTTGATCTGGCCCTGGTAGTATGTGACAAAGAGTAGGGTCACATGTCCAACCTTGTGGGTTTTGTCCAGGTCCTCCGGTTTCCTCGCAATGCTAAAGAACCCTACGCGCAAGCAAATTATTGAAATAAAATCGAACCATGTTAGTCCTGAAATGACCTAGGACCTAGTTTGTGTCGAGTGGGCGTTAAACACTCTCACACTCTCTCTCACACTCACTCACATTCACTCTCTCTCTCTCTCTCACTCTCTCTCTCTCTGATTTGGGTAAATTAAAAAAGTATTGATTTAGTTTAAATGTATGTGTTGATTTAATCCTGTAGACTTGTCCCACCTTTAATTGAAATAAACACATAAAATCAAATTAAATCAACATTTTAATTCAACTTAAAACAAAGAGGTTTAGAAATAAACTAAATGTGCTAAACTAATACTAATTAAATTATGACATAATAAAAAATAAATCCTACTTGACTGCGATTTGACCAAGTTCATGTGGATCACAACGGTTGCCATCTGGTCTTAAAACTTCAACTAAAAACAAAAATAAATATAAAAATTGGGTAAAAAAAAGTAAAAGGTTTCATAATTCATGAATACTGTATGTACGATGTAATCGAATTAATAAATTTAGTATTTACATGATAAACGTAATTCATAAATACAGTATTTACAAGGTAATCTTTATTTTTCAACAGTGTGGTTATGAGATAATCTTTATTTTTCAACAGTGTGGTTATGAGATAATCTTTATTTTTCAACAGTGTGGTCATGTGGTTATCTTTATTCGTAAACAGTGGTCATAAATAACCTGGTGAATATTTTACACATATATATATATTATATGTACATGATACTTACCATTCCATCCTGGTACAGGTTTACCTGCTACACCTGGTGGTGGATATTTTTCCATTCCTAAACCTAAACATGTTGATGTTATTGGACTTCCAGTTTCTGTAATGATAATCATCTATATATATAGATATAAAAAGAGAAATGGGGTTTGATGTCCACTCGACACAAAATAGGGCAATTCAGGACTAACATACGCTTTAATTTTATTTCAATAATTTGATTGAGTGTAGGGGGTTCAGCAGCAGAGGAAACTGGAGGACCCAGAGAAAACTCATGAGGTTGGACAGGTGACCCTACTCCTCGTCATGTACATGTGAGAAACTGAAACCACACCACTTGACTCAATGACAGACCTTACGGTCTAAAGTGCATGTGTTAAACCATTCAGTCACCCAACCCCCACCCGCTTCATCTATGAACAAACTATTCTCTAGTTAAAATCAATCGATTAAAAGACATCTAGATGTAGGTATGTTTCACATGAATTAAAAATTTGCACATTATGCTCCATTACTTTTTTAATATTTTTTAAAAATAATATTTATTTATAGAACAGACAGAAAACTATAGTCTCTCTCTCCATATTTTGATAATATTTTTTCGTCCTAACAAATTTATTGAGTGAATTAAGAAATTAAATATTAACAAAAGTAACCATACCGGTTTGCCACCAGTTATCTAAGACTGGTGTTTTAAAATTCTCTTTGGCCCAATCCAATGTTTCATGATCACAATGTTCTCCCGCAACAAATAATGACCGAAATCTGAAATGTATAAGAGTTACTTAGATTTTTACTGATGGTTTTTTTTTTCAATGGTTCTCCCTTGAGTCATATTAGCCAGTCTTGACTGACTGATAGTGGAAATTGACTGGCTCCAGAACTTATCTGTCAGTCAATATAATCAGAATTTCCAAAAGAGAGAGAGAAATGGGGCTTAACATCCACTCAACACAAACTAGGTCATTTCGGGACTAACATATGGTTCATTTTTATTTCAGTAATTCGCTTGCGCGTAGTGGTCTTTAGCAGTGCGAGAAAACCAGAGGACCCGAAGAAAACCCATGAGGTTAGACAGGTGACTCTACTCCTGGTGACGTACAACCGGGGAATCAAAACCATGCCAGTTGACTCAATGACAGAACTTATAATACAACACGCACGCGCTAACCAATCGGCCATCCACCCCACCCCCCCCACAGAATTTCCAAGAAATTAAATAACAATAAATACAGTGTAGAAACACATTCAAAATGTCCACTCGATACAAACAAGGTCTTTTCGGGACTAACTTTCGGTCTTTAGCAGTGGGATGAAACCAAAGGACCGAGAGAAAACCCACGAGATTGGACAGGAGACCCTATTCCTTGTCACGTACAATAGGGGAATCGAAACCATGCCATTTGACTCAATGACAGACTATGATAAAGCTTGTACATGCTAACCATTCGGCCACCTAACCCCTCACTTTAAAAGAATATCTTGCTAATGTAAACAAAATTGATTAGCAACTTCAGATTTACCAGGTTTTAGATTATCTAATAAATATTAGTTAATATTATAAAAGTTAGTTTATATATTATGAATTACCGTGTAAATATTAGTTAATATTATAAAAGTTAGTTTATATATTAGGAATGCAACTTACTGTGTAAATGTTAGTTTATATATTAGGAATGCAACTTACTGTGTAAATATTAGTAAACATTATAAAAGATAGTTTATATATTAGGAATTACCGTGTAAATATTAGTAAATATTATAAAAGATAGTTTATATATTAGGAATTACCGTGTAAATATTAGTAAATATTATAAAAGTTAGTTTATATATTAGGAATTACCATGTAAATATTAGTTAATATTATAAAAGTTAGTTTATATAATGCAACTTACTGTGTAAATGTTAGTTAATATAATAAAAGTTAGTTTATATATTAGGAATGCAACTTACTGTGTAAATGGCAAATATTTATTTTTAAATTCTTGACTAGAGTTCTAAAAAAAAAAAAAAAAAAAATTACATTGACATTTATAGAATACATGCTTACCTCCGATGTGGACCAAATTACTTTCCAATTACTATTGCACAGCTGTGACTTTATCTCAAATAAATGTAGTTTTTAGATATGGGCTAATGCTACAACTGGGCTAATAAAGACGGGCATACGCCATACAGATTACTATGGCCTATCCTTATAAAGAATTCCAACTGCCAAGGTATCTTTTATGTGCACGCCAATGTATACACAGGCTCTTGGTTTTTCATACCATCCGTCCTGCACCACTGACAAGGGGAAACCATCGAATTAGTCCAACAATGCAAATCATTTTCCCTTCCATTAAGAATTTAACACACAGAAGAATCTGTACAGCAGCCACTCTGTTTTAGCGGTTACAATAAAGGACATCGAAAAGAAATACTGTTACTGTAGTGATATATGAAATTACTGTAACTTCAATAAAGATATATTAAAAACTTACAGCAGCCCTGATGGCTCGTAATGCTGTTGGTGCTGTAAACATACCATGTACTCCATGCTCTTTTATAACACGAAAAAATGTTCCAGCATCTGGTGTTCCTACAGGTTTACCCTGAAATTAACAGTACGGCTTATTAGCTGACGAATACCATCAGTGTTTACAGGGTTTCTGTGACAGGGGCAACAACTCCATATAAAAATGATGCCAAACTCTGAATTTCAAAAGGGTTCATCCAGCCAAAGTTTAAAAAAAAGTGTATCAAAACCTGTGACCCGTACAGTGATTAGAAGAATTGTGAAAAGACAGTAGGACTAATAGTCTAAATGATGGACAGAGTTGACGACAATATACAAAAACATCAAATACTCTAGGTATTTATTGCATTCCTTTTTAATCTTTCAACAAAGTATTTAAAAATTTCCAAAGGAGTAACTAAATGTGATCAAACTATATTAATAAATTATTTGGTGTCAAAGATGAATTTTAGAATATTAACTGACCTCAAATATAATAGAAGTACAACCATTCAATAAGGGAGCATAAGCTATATAGGAATGTCCGACAACCCATCCCAGATCTGATGCTGCCCACCATACCTGAAAATTATACAACAATAACATTCTTACAGACATACTGTCAAAGGATCGTATCTTCATAAAACAATACAGCTGCCAGAATTATTGTCAAAACAAGTCGTCACATATAACCTCTTTCTTGAAGGGAGCCACAATTTTTCAGTGAGTAGGACGTTGGCTTGCTAACCTGGAGATTCCTTGCTCAAACCCTTGTGTTGGCCAAGAAAGTTCATCAGGATTTTCCGATGTGGTTCCCCATTGTCAGTGGTGTAGGATGGAGGGCCTGGCAAGGGACAACGTATAGTTGTTCGAATGGGACGAAAAACTGAGGTCCTGTGTACACATTGGCGTGCATGTAAAAGGACCCTTGGCAGTTGGAATTGGAAATAAGGGTAGGCCATACCGCCGCTGCCCTGGCAAAATTTCCCTCATAGCACACAGCATTGCGTATGGCCGTCCTCATTAGCTCAGTAGGAGCAGAACAGTGGGACGTTAAACACCATTTCATCCATTTATTTCTTTCTTGAAATCCCTTCTGATTCACGATTCACATGTTTATGTCTGAGATTTTAGAGTCAAAAGGGTACAACTCCCATGTACCTTTCAGGACTACTTACTGTATATCTGCCAACTTGTACTTTCAGATCGCATCATCAAAATTAAAACAGTTCCGAGATAGAAGCTTTGCGTAACAATTTACCTTTTAAAAGTGGTTTGAGCATGCTTATGAATGGATTTGGGGCTCAAGAAATAAACATTATTATTAAAAGGATAAAAAAAATTTCACTATACCTCTCCTGGATTAATATCAAATACAGCTTTCATTGACCAGTTTAACATAACAGCATGACCTGCATTAGGTCGTACAACAGCCTGAAATTACAAATAGAGAGAGAGAGAGAGAAATGGGGTTTAATGTCCACTCGACACAAACTAGGTCATTTCGGGACTAACATATGGTTTAATTTTATTTCAATAATTCGCTTGCGCATAGGGGTCTTTAGCAGTGGGGGGAAACCGGAGGACCCGGAGAAAACCCACGAGGTTGGACAGGCGACCCTACTCCTTGTCACGTAGAACCGGGGATTTGAAACCACGCCAGTCGACTCAATGACAGACTTTATGATACAGCGCGCACACTAACCATTCAGCCATCCAACCCCCCGAAATTAGAAATAATGCATTATAGCAACATAATCCCCTGAATATCTATATACTAGCTTTAAAGCTATGTCTCAAGTTTTGAAAGTAAAATTGAGAATGAAAAGATAACTCCCAAACGTCCTACTTTTCTGCATTAACCGGACTATTGAAGACAGGCATATACCATGCATTGTGCTATTTGGGAAATTATTTCAAATTCCAAAAGTCAAGCAAGGCTGACAATCCTGCATGACTGACAAGGTGAAACCAAAAATGAAATCAAATGAAATAGGGTTTAACGTCTGCTCCGACTGGGGCAATGAAGACAGGCTTATGCCATGCATTGTGCTATGAGAGAAATTTTGCACAGACAGCGGTGCTACGGCCTACTCTTATATTGAATTCCAACTGCCGAGGGATCTTTTACATGCACACCAATGTGTACGCGGGACCTCGCACCACTGACAAGTAGGGACCAAGCAGGAAATACCTGATGAATTTTCTTGGAAAACGCAGGGATCGAGCCAACGTTCTACCCACCGAGCCACTGTAACCCCCCCCCCCTCAAGGAGAAACCATACTGGACAATACTGTTTTGGTTAGTGAGTCATCACCTTACTCAATGAGCCGCTGTGACTTCCCAAAACTTAAAGATTGCATATTACAATATTGCAAAATTTTAATCATATACAAAATTATTTGCAATCCACTCCTGTTCAGGATACATGAGGTAAATATTACACTGGATAACCAACCTTTGGTAGTCCGGTTGTACCAGACGTATATAGTATATAAACAGGATCAGTAGCAGAAACTGGAACACAATCAACAGGATTAGTGGAAGCCATTTCATCTTCCCAACATGCATCAATATTCTTATTCAATGGAGCTTTATCCAACTGGAAGAAAATTTGGATTGAAAAACAAGATAATTTCTAGGTATGTTGTATAAAGCAAAAATAATTTATTGGTTTTACTATAAGGAGTCATCAGTAAAAATCAGAATTCTGGACTGACAGGGGAAATGAAGACCAGCATACGTCATAAAGTGTGCTATGTGGGAAATGTTGCAAAGACAGCGGCACTACCTTCTTCCAACTGTCAAGGGTTCTTTTACGTGCATGCCAATATGTATATGGAACCCTGTTTTTTTTTTATCCCATTCTAATGACTAGACACTCTTCCTTGTCAGGTCCTCCGTTCTGCACCAATGACAAAGGAAAACCATGCCAGCAAATCTAGAGGAACTTTCTCAACAAACACCGGGAGCGAACTCAAGACCTCCTGGTTCGCGAGCCATGGTCTTACACACTGAACAACTGCAGCTTCTTGGGGAGTTGGATGGCCGAATGGTTAGCATGCACGAGCTGTATCGTAAGGTCTGTCATTGAGTCAACTTGTGTGGTTTCGATTCCCCAGTTGTATGTGACAAGGAGTAGGGTCGACTGTCCAACCTTTTGGGTTTTCACCGGGTCCTCTGGTTTCCTCCCAATGCCAAATAAAATTGAACCATGTGTTAGTCCCAAAATGACCTAGTTTGTGTCGAGTGGACGTTAAACCCCATTTCTCTCTCTCTCCGTCACTGCAGCTTCTTTGTCATTTTGTTATTGACAGGCAGGCCTGGAAATAACAGTTTTACATGTGCCTGACAAAATGTCCAGCACTAATGAAATAGTACCTGACATTTTCAACTTAGTGCCAGACATTAATAATATCAATAAAAAAGACAAATCAGTGCCAGACAAAATGACAGGCACCAGAGGTTTAGTGCCTGACAAAGCCTGAATCTGTGTCTGACATTGTCAGTGACAGGTGCCTTATTTCCAGGCTTGTTGACATGGGCCTTAAATAAACCACAAGAAACTTACCCCAGGTCTATTAAATATTATACATTTATTTGGTTTAAATTGTGTATTATTTAAGGCTTCTGTTAACATTGGTTTATATGGTACAATTCGGTTAGGTTCAACTCCACAGTTAGCACTCACTATCACCTTAGGCTGAAATTATATAATATAACACATAGAAAACATTCAAATATGGAGAATACATGCGATTTAGATCATAAGGTCTGTCACAGAGTCAAGTGGTGTAGTTTCGAACCCAGACTTGAACATGGCAAGGTACAGGGTGGCTTTCCTAACCTTATGGGTTTTCTGTGGGTTCTGCAATTTCATCTCACAGCTAAAGACTACTATGTATGCAAACAAATTATTGAAATCAAATCTATCCCAAGTACAGCAACATGACAGCCCTTCGTTTAATCTGGGTCTTCCCTAAACTTTGGACAGTGATTTAAGGAATCAAAAACGGTGAAAGTATGTTTGTCTCCAAACAGTATTGGTTACATTGTTTTCGATTTGATAGCCTCGTTTGTCACACAATTAGTTTTTCTGCAATATTCTGCAATGCACTGGTTAATTGGGCATAATAAAATCGTGAGTCATGACGTAATGTTATGTAAACATATTTGGTCCAATTTGGAGCTCTGTTTTAAGCGTAATGCTTTTGTAACACAGTTAGCTATTGGTTTGTAATCAGACTATTGACCAGTCATAATGTGGAACAGAAATTTGCTTTCGTTAAAGCAGTGGTTAGTGCGATTAGGTATAACCCAACGAAACAATGCGAGGAGTATGCATCTCCATCACTTATTATAAGTCCATGCAGCTAACAACTCTGTCATTTGATTGATATGTGTGTGTGCCAGTATTTTTTTGAGCAGATTTCTCGTTTTGTATCTAGTGGATATATTAAACCTCATTTATCTCCCCCTTATTGTAAGTTCATGCAGCTATGAGCTTTAAATTCACTTTTTTGTTTGATAGGTTACTTGTGCGCCAGTACATTATATTTTGTTCAGAATATTTCCTATTTCACATATTAAAATGACTAACAGAAATACCTACCTCCGCGTGAGTTATTCTTGTGGAGAGCTCCTTGGCAGCAAAACCACCAAATACAAGAGAATGTATAGCACCTAGTCTCGTACATGCCAACATGGCGATCACAGCTTGTGGAATCATGGGCATATATATTAACACTACATCTCCCTTTCCAACACCATGCTTCCTTAATACACCCGCAAATACACTCACCTGTATCAATATAACAAGTAGCAACAATAAGTAAAACAGTAAAATGAAATGAAATGAAGTTTAACGTCCTACTGTTCTGCTCCGACCTGGGCTAATGAAGACGGGCATACGCCATACAGTGTGCTATGAGGGAAATTTTGCCCAGACAGTGGCAAGGGATCTTTCACGTGCACACCAATGTGTACACAGGACCTCGTTTTTTCATCCCATTCAAATGACTGGACAGCTGTCCTAGTCAGGTCCTCCGCCCTGCATCACTGACAAGAGCGAACCACGCCGGAAAATTTTGATGAACTTTCTCAGTCAATGCAGGGATCGAACACCCAACCTCCAGGCTAGCGAGCCAGCGTCTTAACTATTTAGCCACCGTGATCCCCGTAAAACAGTAAATGGAACAATTTTCAAATTGTGACATTTGTCTATTTTTAGCCAGTGCTGCTAGCACCATATGGCGTCTTGTTGCTACTAGTGTCCTGTGAACAGTTGGTTTGGTTCATGACCGAAACTTGACAAAGCTCACCGGAAACTTGTCGAACTTGATGCAGATACTTTGTTATTTTTTTTCGATTTGTATTTCTTTACTGACAATATGTATCGAAAAGACTTTAAAATATATTCTGACATTGGTTTATAAGCCAGGCGGGTTGGATGGCCGAATGGTTAGCATGTTCTCGCTGTATCGTAAGGCCTGTCATTGAGTCAACTGGCGTGGTTTCGATTCCCCGGTTGTATGTGACAAGAAGTAGGGTCACCTGTCCAAACTCGTGGGTTTTCTCCGGGTCCTCTGGTTTCCTCCCACTGCTAAAGACCCCTACGCGCAAGAGAATTATTGAAATAAAATTAAACTATATGTTAGTCAATATATTAGTTTGTGTCGAGTGGATGTTAAACCCCATTTCTCTCTCTCTGGTTTATAAACCCATCTGAAAGACTAGAAAATTATAGGATATTCTATAATCTCTATAGATGCACAGAAATATATTCCAATTAATAAATATATTTACCTGTTCTAGTAATTGTTTATATGTTATTTTTTCTATGGTATTTGTAACTGGGCTGTCATGTATTATAGCCAGATTGTCTCCCTTGCCAGCTTCAACATGCCGATCAACAGCATTGTAACACGTACTTATCTCCCCACCGCTGAACCTACAAAATATACAGTAGCATATAGGTACTATAACAACCAAAACTGGGATTATATTTTGTTGCTGGGGGGTTGGATGGCTGAATGGTTAGCGTGCGCTCGCTGTATCATAAAGTCTGTCACTGAGTCGACTGGCGTGGTTTCGAATCCCCGGTTGTACGTGACAAGGAGTAGGGTCGCCTGTCCAACCTCGTGGGTTTTCTCCGGGTCCTCCGGTTTCCTCCCACTGCTAAAGACCCCTATGCGCAAGCGAATTATTGAAATAAAATTAAACCATATGTTAGTCCCGAAATGACCTAGTTTGTGTCGAGTGGACGTTAAACCCCATTTCTCTCTCTCTCTATTTTGTTGCCACAAGAGGGGTTAAAGATGCATGATGTTAGAGCTAAATCTGCCTTTTGCAGGTCTTTTATTTTGTTTTTTAATGCTATATAAAGTCTACACTGCTCCAATCAGTGACATCATTTGTGAAGCAGGCCTAATTAGCACCTCTATGCAGAAGACATGCAACTTTAAGTTGAACTTGACAGTTGATCTCTCTCCAAACACTGTCCAGAATAGCCAGTGTATTTCAACCCTGAACAAGCTAGGGTTTAAAAGAAGAAAATATTCAAATTAATTATCAAAATTAAATTTGTGTCATATTTTGTGCATATGAAACATGTGCATGTCTGATAATTTTGTTTTACCTGTGCTTATTGTCTATGAGGTTATCCACAGAGCAGTCAAACTCACTGAATGTTCAGTGTTCTTAAAATTATTATTATCTAGGCAAGTGTATAATCAACTATCGGATGGTCGAGATTTAATTGGATTGAAACATTTAATAATCTAATTTAAAAATGGATAATCGAGGCTTAGTCTAGATTGTCAAGTATCGTTGCTATGATAATAAACAATCTATGTACAACTTCACACACCGATAACTTTATATCTATTTTTGAACTTAAAGCAACATATGTCAACTCTATATCTAAATCTTACATAATGCACCTTTAATTGATGGAGAATGACATGTATGATATGTATCTGTATCATAGTAAAATTTACTCAGTATGGTAGTGTAATAAGTCAAATAACAAAAAAATCATTTGAAATATGTACGAGACATATCAGATACATGTATTCCTTAGAAATGAAATGAAATGGGGTTTATTGTCCTACTGTTCTGTTCTGACTGGTGCACTGGGCTAATGTAGAATAGGGTCTTTCTATTTCCCTCATAGCACATTGTATATGGCAACAGGACTAGGACAGGAGTAGAACAGTAGGACGTTGAACTCTATTTCATTTCAGTATAACATCTTAATGAGATGTTTGCATTCAGTTCGAAAAACTAGATATAAAAAAAGAGAAAAAAATCCAATAGGCCTACATGCTGAAAAAAACATGTAGTGTATAAGTTTACCATTTTGTGAAAGGGGCATTTGAGTTGTCGAGCACTTTGCTCCACTTTCTACTCCATACAACACCATCGGCTGCCTCCGCCCAGAACTCTTCAGGTGTATTATTTGCTCGTGAGAAGGCCTTGTCATAAAGATTCTGCTTGTTCCCCGCGTAAGCGGCATACTTATGCTGTCGTCGCCATTTACTAAATAAACTCAGCAGATTGGAATCGTCTTTTAAACGATAGTTTAGCGAAACGAACAGCCGTTTCAATACCATTTTGAAGCTTTATCAAACGACCTTGACCGAAAAGTAAGCTTCCTAACAAACTTTCGTAACTTGATAACGGGTAAATAAACTTGGCTCTTTCACAAGTGATTTTATTATTATACATTGGGCAATATAAAAAAAGATAAGTCAAACGTTCTGGGTTAAAAGTTAATTTTATTATGAATTTCAGTAACTACACAATAATGTTTCAGTTTTTTTAAAAAAAAACAACAAATATTAAAAAGTTCCATAGCTCTCATTTTATTTATTTGCAACATCATGCACGGTCATCTGAAATTTGTTTTCGTGAACGATATCTAATCAGTTACAACGGCGTTATCAGCGAAGTACGATAAGAAAACGGTAAAAATGAATGGGAGTATTTATATTTACTGTGCATTATATAGATGGATTCTCCGACAGCTCCGATCGTCAGCCAATCAAAGAGCAGTATTTCTCTAGGTCACGTTTACGCCTCACCTTGGCTTGAAGTCTGTTCTCCATTTTTGTTACTGTTTGGTTTCCATTCGATATTTATTGTTATTATCCAGCGGTAAGTTAATTTATTTGAATTTGAATAACATACAGCGTTTCTACAGGTCTATCGTAACATGTTTGAAGTATTTAACATTCCGAAAACAGTCTAATTTAGGTAGAATTTGGCGACAAACAAGGGCTACCGGTCGGCTTCATTGATTTTACGAAGAATTTAGGCCATTGCTGGCTTGATTTGTAAAGATGACGAACATTATTATATTTTTAGGGTTAAACCATATTTATTTGTATTGTATTATACTTGTAATGTCTTTTTTACGTGTTGACAAATCGGTCTGGGACAGAAAAGGATGACAGACCGGTGCCTGTTTTGTGTAACATTCTACTTATTTGATACAAAGCATAGCCATAGCAGCCGATATTTTTATAGTATAGTTTGTTCTGTTTAAGTGGAAATCCCAGCCGAGAAGGTTTTATAATTTGTTTATGAATTGTGACCATATCCCCCAGCCAGTTACTGAGATTTTAATGTTTAATTTACCCCTTTTTCACACAAAAATTACAAACGACTTAGGGTGGGCCCCAAGTCTTAAGAAAAAATAATGCGTTTAATAAGGAAGCAGATTAAATAAATAAAAAAGAAAACAATTAAACTGAAAAAAAAGGCAAGAAAATATGGAATGTTCAACTTAGAATTTGAAATGATTCACCGACACCTTAGCCGTAATTATAACCAAAGCCGCAGGGAATTTATGAGACGTATTGTCTTCATTGTCTTGTGATATGATTGAAAGACTTGATTATGTAATAATATTTAACAGCCCTTCAATAAAATAAACCCGGTGGCGTCATACATATAGGAAGAAGATTATTAGCAATCATAGATTATTTACGAGTAGGCCTACCGATATTTAGATGCAAGATATGGGGTGACCGAATGATTAACGCGTACGCGTTGGGTCATAATTAGGGCTGCCATCGAGTCAATTAAGTTGCGTGGTTAATTTCGATTCCCCGCTTGTGTGTGACAAGGAGTAGGATCCTTTAAGAGTGCTTAGTATGACGAGAGGGTGTGAGAATAGTGACAGACACCAACATAGTTGTAGTAGACTGCGATTAAACGGCGGACAATAATGTTGACACAGGATAATTCAAGAATGAAATTAAGGCTTCAATATTATATGTTAAATGGACAAATAAAATCTAAAAGAGCCCCCCCCCCTTCACCCGTGCCAAAAAGACTGCTTAAAATAGATTTTTTACGGTTTGGGACAGTTTCTCTCGATTATAGTGTTTTGAGACGGATTTCAAGCAAACCTTTTGACAAATCAATTAATTTGAAGATATTTGTAGCCCAAATATATCATCAAATCACACAATTTTTACGTGGGATAGCATCTTTAAATTAGACACAAAACAACCAGAACATCGCTAAAACGTTCAGATAATCTGAAGTTTTTGGGAGTTTTGATCTAAGCTACGATTGGATCCATTTAATTTCACCTTGCAGACTCACTTGTTCATTAATGCGTGTATCAGTCCAAAATTAAGATTGTATAACAGTATGAGCAATCAAGCATATAGGCCCTACTATCTCGCCAAAACTTGCGCCCATGGCAATTGCAAATATTTTCGTTAAAGATACATTATGGGAGATTAGATAAAGAACTGGCAGTTCTCATATATAATAGTTAAAAACTAGATGTAAAGGGAATTTGCTGAAAATTTCAGTCAAATTGATCCACTCTGAACCGAGATTTCAGCGATTGAATTTTCGGCCTATTCGCGATCATCATTACTAAAGTCGGTACGTAAAAAACATAGTCTCGATTATCCATTTCATGATTAAGTCATGAATGAAAGTTGAGCAGCAAATCGGATCCTAATCCAGTAAATATCGCAAGCTGGCGTTCATATCGAGAGTTGATTATAGCCTGGATAAGTTAATTAATGTATAATTAATAATTTAAATAACAATTCAGGCCTAAAGAAAGACCTGCAATAGGCAGATTTAGCTCTTGCATAATGTATGTTTAAGTTGTGTTACCGGAAAATGTCACGGTTTTTGCTCAGTTATAATGCACGTGTGATTCGCGATGGCTTTTTCTTAAAGAAAGGGCGGTATATTTAACTCGTTTTTATAACACATCTCCCTCAACCTATACATAAAATGAAAGATTTATTTAATGTTAAAGGCACAAACTTAATCAAATTATTTAAATTTATATAAGTTATATTAAATCACTTTAGTAAATAAGCTTTTATTCACGATAAATTAAATGTAAATGGCTGTAGGTAAATGTTTAAACAGATTGATTGTCATGTTCGACTGTATTTATATATCGTCTGATGAAGATTTGGAATAAAGATTATTATATTATTAGATATACTGTAACGTTCATATCGTTGACTAAGTAACAAATAACTGTTATAAATGAAAATATACGACACTAATAGATCAAAGTCGTCAGTTTATATACATAATGTGTATTAGTTAAAATTGTTAGTAATCAGACAGTAGTCATTAAGTAGGTGTTTTGTCACCAAGGTGTTAAAACTGTGACCATTGAATGATATATACTTTACTATTGTCAAGGTTTGTGTATTCCATAGCGATGGGCGTTATAAATAGTCATTATAACTATAACATTCAAATATTTTATATTTCAGATTTGAGAAGAGATGGATAAAGTTATGTAAACAGCACAGAAATAATTTCTAAATGGAAAATCTGTCCGAAGATGAAGCCCTACCAAACTACAGTTACCAACCCCAGTATAACCTTCATGGATTGGTTGATATCAGCACATTGCAACATTACCAAGGCGACAACCAATCACATATTTCCTTACATAATGCAAATATCCACCCAAATAATGACTTACAAACCAGTCATCTGACAGATTATGCAGGCCAATCATATGTCGGCCTGGGACATACTGTGGGATATGGGGATGGACAAATGACCAGTGGTTATCCCACGGCAATCTCCCCAATATCTGATCAACAACTATCCCTTAGTTCATCTCTAGGATCTTCATGGTCAAATTCAGGTAGGCACTTCATTTGAACCTTTTGGGGGTAATCTAGTTCCTTTAAAAGGAACCAGAAGTAATCGGTCTTATCCATCACATTTAAAAAACGTGCTAGAATTTCGACTTTTTAAAACCTTACTTCAATGTAGTTACCTCCCTTTAACCCAAAGTCCCAAAGTCTTAAACGATTCCGGCCAAATCGGATTCCGAATTATTTTTTGATTCATCTTCTTTTACTCTTACTTAAGGTAAAAATTGAAACACAGTTTCGTTATAAAACCCGAGACTATGCCTTTGAACCCTAAGTTGAACATTCTTAAGACTTGTTTTGTAAATAAAACAATGAATGAAATGGGGTTTAAGGTTTTATTTTTCTCCTCCAACCGAGCTAATGAAAAAATTTAGCCGGTCAGCAACTGAATTCCAACTGTCAAGGGTTATTGTACCCGAGACCCCTGTCTTTCATTCTATCCAAGTCCTTCGCTGTGCAACAGGGGAAATCCTGTGCACCATCCTGAAGAACCTTCTCGAACAACACCGGGATCGAACCAGGGACTTCCTAATTAGCGAACCAGGGACCTCCTAATTAGCGAGCCAGCACTCCACACACCGAACAACCGCGGTTCCTTGTAAACAAGAATCCATATTGGACAATGATCCATCAAACATTTTGGCCCGAATAAACTTTATGTCTACCTATACATGTCAAAGATTGGCATACGAATAAAAAAAAAATCAGCAACCTACTACTATAGAAGCCATGTTTTATTTTAATATTAATTAGTTTAATTTAATTACAGGTTTAGCCAAAGCACCGATGGGGAGATGGGGTGTAGAGCAATCGAACCCTCCATCACATCGTGTTGAAGTTGGTGGTATAGGTTGGACAGATATTCTACACAAAAACATGCATCAGTTAATGGAAGTTGATATGATGTGTGATACAATAATATTAACAAATACTCAACAAATAAAGGTGAGTAAGAATGTATCCAATAGTCTATAGACTTAAACAAAAAAGTTTAATTGGGTGTGTGTGTGTGGGGGGGGGGGGGCTGGAAAATCCTGTTGTAGACCTGAACTGACCCGTCCTGAATGGCAGATGACCTATCGAGATCTCAGTTTAATGAAACTTACACGGATGACCATTATTCAAAATGTACGATGTGACAGTGTCGGCTCGCTAGCCTGGAGTTCGCGTGTTCGATCCCTGCATTGGCCGAGAAAGTTTATCCAGATTTTCCGGCGTCGTTCTCTCTTGTCACTGATGCAGGACGGAGGGCCTGACAAGGAAAGCTGTCTAGTCGTTTGGATGTGACGAAAAACCGAGGTCCCGTGTACATATTGGCATGCACGTAAAAGATCCCTTGACAGTTGGAATTCGATATAGATTAGGCCGTAGTGCCGATGTACGGGCAAAATTTCCCTGATATGACGTATGCCCGTCTTCAGCGTCGGGACAGAACAGTAGGACTTTAAACCTCATTTCATTTCATTTTGACAGTGTTTTTTACTAATAATTTCTCGTTCGCATTTCATCGATGCACGGTAATTTCCACTTTTATACATGTAACAACAAATACAAAATGTTGCCATCAATGACATTTATAAAACTTTAACTGTGAAACTAATGTTGACCTGAAAAGATATCTGTCCCAAAGGGACCCAGATTAATTATCGAAATGGTAAAAACTATTCCATTCCATTAGCTGTTTGCCTTGTTACGATGGCTGTCCGTAGGCTGGGATGGATTGGGCTGATTGGCCTAACCCGTGCGCTTTAAATCATAAGGTCTGTCACAGAGTCAAGGGTGTGGTTTCGATCTCAAGCTTCTACATGACAAGGAGTAAGACCGACAGCCCAACCTCCAGTTTCCTCCCATTGCTGAAGTCCCCTGCATGCAAGTGAACGATTGAAATACAATTGTTCCATATGTTAGTCCCAATATGCCATATAGTTTGTTTCAAGTTGAGGTAAAATCGCATTTTGCCCTCTCTCTCGCTATTGGGATGGGACACTAATAGTTTCATGTTTTTATTTCAACAGGTCCACAAACTGATACTCATGTCTTCTAGTGATTATTTATTGACACTGCTGAAACGATACGATAACCTCAAGATGATACAACTACGACTGCCGGTAACAGTTACAATGGAGGCACTCAAGACATTTATATCATTTCTCTACTTGGGAAAAGCTGATCTAACATCTGAGAACATCCGTGATATCGCCGCCCTCGCTAACATCTTTAAGATACAGGTGCTGAAAGACCTTATTGTGAAGTTATCCGGAAACGATAATCTAGTCAGTGGGGATAAACTTTTTGATGTCCAGCCTACGGTGATAGATGTCTGTGAACGGCGAGATCAGTGTATTGATACCAGTTCCTTGGTGTTGACAACAGAGCAAGGAATTAATACGGACAGTTCGTTTGATAATAGCACCTCATCTCCCCCTAGCACCTTTCTAGATGATAACGGCACTGACGAAAGGCCTGTTTGTAAAAAGTTACCAAAGAAATCCCAACTAGTTTCATCGGCGGCTCACACTTACGGTACCAGATCGACCGCATCCCAAGGAACTCCCAAGTCAAGACGTAAAACATATCTTGAAGAACAATCCAAGAAAGATATGGAAGAGGCGGCCGCAGGAGACAAAGGCATTGAAGTACCTCAAGCTCGTCCAGAAGTTTACAGGGGAAAGAAGAGTCGTCTGCTCGCTGGTGCTCCAAAACAAGATACTCCCGAGGTACAACCTCCAAAAACAAGGGGCAAGTTCCGACGGAAGATCGAGTTAGTTGACAATGAGAATTTTGTTGCTGCTCCTCTCAATCTGTCTGATGTCAATGATGCATCCGCCACATCGTTTGTCCCAAGTTCTCCTGATGATCAAAATGCGTCAGCTAAGAGAGGACGTTTTAGGTAAATATTGCATTGAAAAGATAGCCTAGACTCGTAGTCTAAACAATCAATTTGAATTCATTAATATTAAATTGAATTCTGCTTAATCTAAATTCGTTTTTGAAGTAAATTGTCATCAAGGTATCTTGTTATTATTTACTAGTACCTTTTCTACAGAGATATGGATTTAACAAATGTTATTTTTCTTTTATGTAGGAAAATTGGGACCGGAAATCAAATGACAGTTAGACCTCCACCAAAGAAACGAGCTAAAATGGAGCTGCAGTTGAGTGAAGATCATTTATGTGAAGCTGTTGATGACGAGCTTCCCATAACTGTGTTTTCTGTCCCTGCAGAGGCACAAGTCCAAACACCAAAAGCGAAATCATCTCCCAAGAAATCCCCTAGTCAAAGAAATAAAAGGCGCCGCAATAGTAGATGGGGAAAATCGAAGAATCTTGTAGCAATTGCTAGTGACATTGAAAATATGGCTGAACACATTCCGGAGAATGAAAGACAATTTAAATGTAATCTTTGTGGAAATGAGTTTGTGTTTGCGAAACGTTGTATAAGCCACATGGTGAAGACCCATGGTGTTGAAGAAACCAATGTTATCCCAAACGTAATTATCCGGAGCAAGGATGAGTCGTCGCCCAAGGTGTGTGATATTTGTGGATACAAAACCAAAGACCAAAACTTCTGTTACATTCATTATCATAAATATTTCAAACATGGCGTGCCCTTACCACAAGGCTGGGAGATTTACAAATGTGACCAATGCGGTAAAGAATATTTTACCAAGTTTATGTTGAAGGACCACAAATTAACCCATAAAGAAGACACGCCATTTATTTGTGAAACATGTGGACAGGGTTTCAAAACACGCACCTGTTTAAACAGTCACGTGTTTCATCGACATAAAGAGGTGAGGAAACATGGCTGCCCTGAATGTAAAAAGAAATTTAAAACAAAAACACAGATGAGCGTCCATTACCGGACACACACTGGTGAAAAACCCTTTTCTTGTCCAGAATGTGATTATAAAAGCACAACTCGGGGTAACATGAGACTCCATCTTACAAATAAACATAAACATAATGTCGATAATGTCCAGCTTCTTATGCAAAAAATGACAAGCGGAATGCCTCCAGCTGATATGGCTAATATTGTCAAAGAGATTAAAGAAGCTGAAGCACTAGAGATCGACATCGCCGTTCCGGTAGAAAATCTCGTGCAAGTTGCTACATGCACATCCGTTCCGATAGACTCGTCTGTCCCGATAGCTACGACTGTTCCGTTAGCAAATCCTGCTTCTGTAGCCACCACTCTTCCCGTGGAGATCTTATCGATGGACAAACTAACGACTGTGCTAAGGAAGTGCAGTGGCATAAAATGGATGGACATTGGCGAACAGAATGGACAGGATGCTTACACGTGTGCCTTACCCCAATCTTCAAGCGGGTCGGCCATTTTGCTTCCGGTCTCTCAGACAAACCAGCCTTCGTCAGATGGTACGTCAACCTACACGACGTATACACTAGTGCCGAGTTCGGATCTACTCAATGTAAAATCACTGGGAGTGGACCCTGAGAGAACGACGACCACCCTAAAACCTGTGTCTTTGACACCACCACCAGCGCAACAGTCATCACATCTTTATATGCAACACTCACCTATAAGTCCTGCTGCAACCGTTTCTCCCGATGGGCATTTCCAGACACCGCATAATATGATTAGTTCACCAATCACACCCCCTCCACCCACATCCCACTCGCCTTACCCATCTGCATCCAATATGGTGAATTCGCCAATCAGCCCACCACAAATCAACATGTCCTATCAAACCTATGCACATAATCTCTCCAACTCGCCCATTAGTCCACCAGCACCAACGATGTCACCAAATCAGTCATACCAGAACATCAATAGCGTTTCTCCCGTTAATCTTCAAACCGCACAGTCTATGGGGCAAGATGGCGGTATTGTATCGGATGGTGACGTTGATTCGAGTTACAACCAACAACAATATGACACGGCCCTTTTACAAGTTTATTACCAACAACAAAATTTCTATCAACAAGGTTATTAAGCTGTGTTTGTTTTTCATAAAGCTATAGTTAAGACGAAGCCGATTTATCTTTTTATATCGAAAAGACAGAATTTAAGCTAAAAGAAGTACACAAGCCGACTTCCGCTTAATCTTTCGGAACGAAAATGTATTCGTATAGAGCCCGAGTAGCAATCAAAGTAACACACTAGTAACCCAATTTAATATTATATTTTTGATCCAAATCAAAGAAAGAGAAAGAAATGGGGTGTAACGTCCACTCGGGACTAACGTATGGTTCAATTTTATTTTCAATAATTCGCTTGCGCTTAGGGGTCTTTAGCAGTGGGAGGATCCGGAGAAAACCGACGAGGTTGGACAGGCGAACCAACTCCTTGTCATGTAAAACCGGGAAATCGATACCGCGCCAACTGACTCAATGAAAGACTTTATGATACAACGCGCACGCGCTAACTATTCAGCCCCCCCCCCCAAAAAAAAAAATCAAAGGGGTTTAGCTCAGCATTCTGGGCAATGTTCGTTATTTTAACATACTGACTAATGTTGGTTGCTAATGTGGACTAATGTTGGTTGCTTCAACATCTAGACTAACGTTGGTTGCTACAACATCTGAAATAATGTTGGTTTCTTTAACATCTGGCTAAAGTTGGTTGCTACAACATCTGAACTAATGTTGGTTGCTTCAACATCTGGACTAATATTGGTTGCTTCAACATCTGGACTAATGTTGGTTGCTACATCATCTGGGCTAATGTTGATGGCTTCAACATCTGGACTAATATTGGTTGCTTCAATATCTGGACTAACGTTGGTCGCTACAACATCTGAACTAATGTTGGTGGCTAATGTGGACTAATGTTGGTTGCTTCAACATCTAGACTAACGTTGGTTGCTACAACATCTGAACTAATGTTGGTTGCTTCAACATCTGAACTCATGTTGGTTGCTTCAACATCTGAACTAATGTTGGTTACTTCAACATCTGAACTAATGTTGGTTGCTTCAACATCTGAACTAATGTTGGTTGCTTCAACATCTGTACTAATGTTGGTTGCTACAACATGTGGGCTAATGTTGGTTGATACAACATCCGAACTAATGTTGGTTGTTTTTCTAGTGTGAATTTACAGTTTGTTTGGTCAATGACATTTGCTGAATATGGACTCGCATATCTGGCAACATCAAGAATATTATTATTGTTTTCTATTAACATACGAGTGCAGAGATCTGTATGATTAAAGTTGGTTTCAAATGGGTGTTTGTCTTCTTTTTTCCAAAACCCATTTCCCAATAACGGGCTTGGGGATTTTTATGGTTACTAGTAAGGAGACGACCATCTTTGGACTAACCTAAACACTGTCTATACCTGGTTACGAAGATGTTCAAGGTTCTCGAGCAGTAAATAAACTAAACTGGATCGAGCTGAATCCCAGTAAGGGTCGAGAAGAACCAAACCATGTACCTATTTCTGTGTGAAAAAAACCCCTACACAGTCATAAGTCGATGAAGAGCACAAGGAAATGTCACTGTCAAATCAAAATACCCTTCCCTATCATTGTACACGAAGTGATAGGGAACTAACCATATAGTAGTCTCTAAATCACTGAAGATATTTTGAAGAGACATTAAAATTCGGCCCATTCTTATAAATATGATATTGGATAAGATTTTGGGCCATACAAAACCCCAAAACATTGCCCCACACATTAATAATGAAAAAGTAATTTTGGAACACTACAGCCTTAAACTTTTCCCATACCAATTCTGTAACGGCACTGACGAAAGGCCTGTTTGTAAAAAGTTACCAAAGAAATCCCAACTAGTTTCATCGGCGGCTCACATTTATAAAACTTTAACTGTGAAACTAATGTTGACCTGAAAAGATATCTGTCCCAAAGGGACCCAGATTAATTATCGAAATGGTAAAAACTATTCCATTCCATTAGCTGTTTGCCTTGTTACGATGGCTGTCCGTAGGCTGGGATGGATTGGGCTGATTGGCCTAACCCGTGCGCTTTAAATCATAAGGTCTGTCACAGAGTCAAGGGTGTGGTTTCGATCTCAAGCTTCTACATGACAAGGAGTAAGACCGACAGCCCAACCTCCAGTTTCCTCCCATTGCTGAAGTCCCCTGCATGCAAGTGAACGATTGAAATACAATTGTTCCATATGTTAGTCCCAATATGCCATATAGTTTGTTTCAAGTTGAGGTAAAATCGCATTTTGCCCTCTCTCTCGCTATTGGGATGGGACACTAATAGTTTCATGTTTTTATTTCAACAGGTCCACAAACTGATACTCATGTCTTCTAGTGATTATTTATTGACACTGCTGAAACGATACGATAACCTCAAGATGATACAACTACGACTGCCGGTAACAGTTACAATGGAGGCACTCAAGACATTTATATCATTTCTCTACTTGGGAAAAGCTGATCTAACATCTGAGAACATCCGTGATATCGCCGCCCTCGCTAACATCTTTAAGATACAGGTGCTGAAAGACCTTATTGTGAAGTTATCCGGAAACGATAATCTAGTCAGTGGGGATAAACTTTTTGATGTCCAGCCTACGGTGATAGATGTCTGTGAACGGCGAGATCAGTGTATTGATACCAGTTCCTTGGTGTTGACAACAGAGCAAGGAATTAATACGGACAGTTCGTTTGATAATAGCACCTCATCTCCCCCTAGCACCTTTCTAGATGATAACGGCACTGACGAAAGGCCTGTTTGTAAAAAGTTACCAAAGAAATCCCAACTAGTTTCATCGGCGGCTCACACTTACGGTACCAGATCGACCGCATCCCAAGGAACTCCCAAGTCAAGACGTAAAACATATCTTGAAGAACAATCCAAGAAAGATATGGAAGAGGCGGCCGCAGGAGACAAAGGCATTGAAGTACCTCAAGCTCGTCCAGAAGTTTACAGGGGAAAGAAGAGTCGTCTGCTCGCTGGTGCTCCAAAACAAGATACTCCCGAGGTACAACCTCCAAAAACAAGGGGCAAGTTCCGACGGAAGATCGAGTTAGTTGACAATGAGAATTTTGTTGCTGCTCCTCTCAATCTGTCTGATGTCAATGATGCATCCGCCACATCGTTTGTCCCAAGTTCTCCTGATGATCAAAATGCGTCAGCTAAGAGAGGACGTTTTAGGTAAATATTGCATTGAAAAGATAGCCTAGACTCGTAGTCTAAACAATCAATTTGAATTCATTAATATTAAATTGAATTCTGCTTAATCTAAATTCGTTTTTGAAGTAAATTGTCATCAAGGTATCTTGTTATTATTTACTAGTACCTTTTCTACAGAGATATGGATTTAACAAATGTTATTTTTCTTTTATGTAGGAAAATTGGGACCGGAAATCAAATGACAGTTAGACCTCCACCAAAGAAACGAGCTAAAATGGAGCTGCAGTTGAGTGAAGATCATTTATGTGAAGCTGTTGATGACGAGCTTCCCATAACTGTGTTTTCTGTCCCTGCAGAGGCACAAGTCCAAACACCAAAAGCGAAATCATCTCCCAAGAAATCCCCTAGTCAAAGAAATAAAAGGCGCCGCAATAGTAGATGGGGAAAATCGAAGAATCTTGTAGCAATTGCTAGTGACATTGAAAATATGGCTGAACACATTCCGGAGAATGAAAGACAATTTAAATGTAATCTTTGTGGAAATGAGTTTGTGTTTGCGAAACGTTGTATAAGCCACATGGTGAAGACCCATGGTGTTGAAGAAACCAATGTTATCCCAAACGTAATTATCCGGAGCAAGGATGAGTCGTCGCCCAAGGTGTGTGATATTTGTGGATACAAAACCAAAGACCAAAACTTCTGTTACATTCATTATCATAAATATTTCAAACATGGCGTGCCCTTACCACAAGGCTGGGAGATTTACAAATGTGACCAATGCGGTAAAGAATATTTTACCAAGTTTATGTTGAAGGACCACAAATTAACCCATAAAGAAGACACGCCATTTATTTGTGAAACATGTGGACAGGGTTTCAAAACACGCACCTGTTTAAACAGTCACGTGTTTCATCGACATAAAGAGGTGAGGAAACATGGCTGCCCTGAATGTAAAAAGAAATTTAAAACAAAAACACAGATGAGCGTCCATTACCGGACACACACTGGTGAAAAACCCTTTTCTTGTCCAGAATGTGATTATAAAAGCACAACTCGGGGTAACATGAGACTCCATCTTACAAATAAACATAAACATAATGTCGATAATGTCCAGCTTCTTATGCAAAAAATGACAAGCGGAATGCCTCCAGCTGATATGGCTAATATTGTCAAAGAGATTAAAGAAGCTGAAGCACTAGAGATCGACATCGCCGTTCCGGTAGAAAATCTCGTGCAAGTTGCTACATGCACATCCGTTCCGATAGACTCGTCTGTCCCGATAGCTACGACTGTTCCGTTAGCAAATCCTGCTTCTGTAGCCACCACTCTTCCCGTGGAGATCTTATCGATGGACAAACTAACGACTGTGCTAAGGAAGTGCAGTGGCATAAAATGGATGGACATTGGCGAACAGAATGGACAGGATGCTTACACGTGTGCCTTACCCCAATCTTCAAGCGGGTCGGCCATTTTGCTTCCGGTCTCTCAGACAAACCAGCCTTCGTCAGATGGTACGTCAACCTACACGACGTATACACTAGTGCCGAGTTCGGATCTACTCAATGTAAAATCACTGGGAGTGGACCCTGAGAGAACGACGACCACCCTAAAACCTGTGTCTTTGACACCACCACCAGCGCAACAGTCATCACATCTTTATATGCAACACTCACCTATAAGTCCTGCTGCAACCGTTTCTCCCGATGGGCATTTCCAGACACCGCATAATATGATTAGTTCACCAATCACACCCCCTCCACCCACATCCCACTCGCCTTACCCATCTGCATCCAATATGGTGAATTCGCCAATCAGCCCACCACAAATCAACATGTCCTATCAAACCTATGCACATAATCTCTCCAACTCGCCCATTAGTCCACCAGCACCAACGATGTCACCAAATCAGTCATACCAGAACATCAATAGCGTTTCTCCCGTTAATCTTCAAACCGCACAGTCTATGGGGCAAGATGGCGGTATTGTATCGGATGGTGACGTTGATTCGAGTTACAACCAACAACAATATGACACGGCCCTTTTACAAGTTTATTACCAACAACAAAATTTCTATCAACAAGGTTATTAAGCTGTGTTTGTTTTTCATAAAGCTATAGTTAAGACGAAGCCGATTTATCTTTTTATATCGAAAAGACAGAATTTAAGCTAAAAGAAGTACACAAGCCGACTTCCGCTTAATCTTTCGGAACGAAAATGTATTCGTATAGAGCCCGAGTAGCAATCAAAGTAACACACTAGTAACCCAATTTAATATTATATTTTTGATCCAAATCAAAGAAAGAGAAAGAAATGGGGTGTAACGTCCACTCGGGACTAACGTATGGTTCAATTTTATTTTCAATAATTCGCTTGCGCTTAGGGGTCTTTAGCAGTGGGAGGATCCGGAGAAAACCGACGAGGTTGGACAGGCGAACCAACTCCTTGTCATGTAAAACCGGGAAATCGATACCGCGCCAACTGACTCAATGAAAGACTTTATGATACAACGCGCACGCGCTAACTATTCAGCCCCCCCCCCCCCAAAAAAAAAAATCAAAGGGGTTTAGCTCAGCATTCTGGGCAATGTTCGTTATTTTAACATACTGACTAATGTTGGTTGCTAATGTGGACTAATGTTGGTTGCTTCAACATCTAGACTAACGTTGGTTGCTACAACATCTGAAATAATGTTGGTTTCTTTAACATCTGGCTAAAGTTGGTTGCTACAACATCTGAACTAATGTTGGTTGCTTCAACATCTGGACTAATATTGGTTGCTTCAACATCTGGACTAATGTTGGTTGCTACATCATCTGGGCTAATGTTGATGGCTTCAACATCTGGACTAATATTGGTTGCTTCAATATCTGGACTAACGTTGGTCGCTACAACATCTGAACTAATGTTGGTGGCTAATGTGGACTAATGTTGGTTGCTTCAACATCTAGACTAACGTTGGTTGCTACAACATCTGAACTAATGTTGGTTGCTTCAACATCTGAACTCATGTTGGTTGCTTCAACATCTGAACTAATGTTGGTTACTTCAACATCTGAACTAATGTTGGTTGCTTCAACATCTGAACTAATGTTGGTTGCTTCAACATCTGTACTAATGTTGGTTGCTACAACATGTGGGCTAATGTTGGTTGATACAACATCCGAACTAATGTTGGTTGTTTTTCTAGTGTGAATTTACAGTTTGTTTGGTCAATGACATTTGCTGAATATGGACTCGCATATCTGGCAACATCAAGAATATTATTATTGTTTTCTATTAACATACGAGTGCAGAGATCTGTATGATTAAAGTTGGTTTCAAATGGGTGTTTGTCTTCTTTTTTCCAAAACCCATTTCCCAATAACGGGCTTGGGGATTTTTATGGTTACTAGTAAGGAGACGACCATCTTTGGACTAACCTAAACACTGTCTATACCTGGTTACGAAGATGTTCAAGGTTCTCGAGCAGTAAATAAACTAAACTGGATCGAGCTGAATCCCAGTAAGGGTCGAGAAGAACCAAACCATGTACCTATTTCTGTGTGAAAAAAACCCCTACACAGTCATAAGTCGATGAAGAGCACAAGGAAATGTCACTGTCAAATCAAAATACCCTTCCCTATCATTGTACACGAAGTGATAGGGAACTAACCATATAGTAGTCTCTAAATCACTGAAGATATTTTGAAGAGACATTAAAATTCGGCCCATTCTTATAAATATGATATTGGATAAGATTTTGGGCCATACAAAACCCCAAAACATTGCCCCACACATTAATAATGAAAAAGTAATTTTGGAACACTACAGCCTTAAACTTTTCCCATACCAATTCTGTAAAGGTTCTAGTAGAGAGCTAGCATTAGTATAAAATGTCCATTATCATCTACCACCAGGTCATGGTCCAACGGCTTTGGCCCAGTCAAATTTCAGAGATGAGATTATTAAGTCCCTTTCGACACGGTGTCCACTGACGACATTAACCAATATTAATAGACTTACCCTCAAATTAGCACCTATTTCATAGTTTAATACATTCTAGGTGATTGACAAGTAGTGTTTGGGGAATCTATACCTGTTCATAATAGTCTGGAGGCTCAGGGCGAGGGGGGGGGGGGTGTCCATTAAATGGGGACAAAATCAGACCCAACTGTTTTGGTTCTGTTATGCAAGATCTTTTTCGACGTTCCAATGTAAATGTACGGTGCTAAGACCACCTAAATGTAAGTTTTAAAGGCTCCTATTTTTAATTAGAACAGATTTCGCTTTAATTTTTATATTTTACGCTGATATTTATTGCTTTAAATCTTCCTAGTGTAAAAATTGGAAATTTGACCTTTTGACCCCCGGGGTCACAAACAACAAAGGTGAATTTAGCAAGTTTACTTTTTTATTCAAAGAATGATTGATTACCTTCGATCATTTTCAGCATGTTTTCAAGATATATAAGAATGTCTGCGCATTCTCTTTCAGTGCAAATGACCTCATTTGACCTTTGACCCCGAACATCTCGAAAACGACCCAACGGCGGACTGATTACCACTCGGCATCGTATTCTACGCAAAATTTTACTCTAGAAAAGTTGGGTCTGGTTTTGTGCCATTTTATGGACACCCCCCGCACTGAGCCTCCAGTCTATAATCTATCTCCGCTGACATTAACCGTGTTATATACCAGAGGCCACGATGACCCAGTATGGCGCTATGACTCAATAACCCGGAGGTCCTGGTTTCTTTCTTCGGGATTTCCCATTTTGGGTTTCCAAATCTGCAGTTGGCTTTAATTTTTAGTGTAAAAGTTATTTATAGTCGTTTTCTCCCATTCCCTTTCCCCCTTTTGCATGGCGAGTCGTTTCGACTTTTTGGTGTAGAATTGAAGAAAGGGGTTTGAATATACATTTTCTGCCTCATGACTTTGAGGTGGAAGGATAAGAGAGTTAAGATGTTGGTTACGTTGACATGTAGAACGTACAGTCAGGAGCGGATCCAGGATTTACAGAAAGGGGGCGTGCTGCTCCACTTGGGAGTGCGAAGCCCGGCCCCCGGTGGACGGACTGACGGGCAATCAACCATGTCACCAACCGGCTCGTTTCGGAGTAAATTACGACGGGAATTACTACCATTTTTAAGTATATATTTTTGTTCTCCTTTCCCGCGAGAATAATATGGGGTAAAAAAATTGTTCACCACCGCAAAAAATAGTTGTATGTTTACTTGTATGCTACTCATATGGTGAACCTCATGCATGCTTTTAAGCAAGAGGTTGCCACATGTTGCTCCATCTGTGTTAGAAAGTGTTCAAAATCCCACGAAAATTGTGTCCGAATACTGTGTCAGTATGGTAAAGTGAGAACTTATAAAAAGGAACGAAAATATAACGAAACGAAGTATCATTATTATACGCCAGGATTATACAGTCTACAAGGGATTGCATAGTAGGGTTAAGAAAATGTGTGTATACACAGGTTCTGACATCGCGCCCTACTTTTGTAAGGACTGACGAACTGGTCACGTACTTTGTAACTAACCTAACCGAGTCCCATGTTGTCTGTTCCATTTAATAGTAAATGATCAGTTATAAGATCATTTCAGAACCTGTCGAAGTATGGCATTCAGACTATCGTCATTACAGCTATGGTTCCCTGCAAGACATAAATTCTTGACATAAAAAAATCATAAACAAAATAAAAACCTATCATCGCATACCACGCTTACATCGTCGCGAAGCCACACCTCTTTGCTTGTGGGACATATCGAATATACAGCATACTCAGCAATTCATTAATGGTTTATGACGATGGGTCTTCCGAATGCCCTGACTTACCTCCACTCGGAAGGTTGACGTCAATCCAGAGTTGGATTTTAGACATGCGTATGAAGACGGCAGTGCCTCTCCAGGATGGCGAATTAAGTTGTAATAAGATTTATAAATGACGAAAGTTGTAAGTATAAATAAATACATTCTACAAATTCTGCCTTATACTATATTTCATAATAAGGAATTGTTTACAAGGTAAGATTAAACTTTAATATATATTGTCATTGTAATGTTTACATTATAGTTCTTTTTATTAATTTGACACGGACAAACAACAAAGTTACAAATCAAATTGTATGTTAGTGCCAGGGTCGTAACTAGCTCAGAGCAACGAGTGGCGGAAAGTGTTCTCAGGGGTGCTGTAAAATTGACGGACAATGTATATCTATTTTCGCCCCCCCCCCCCCAGTTACGGGCCTGGTTCGTGCCGATGAAGATAAACCCTAGGCTATTCCACCTCAACTCCCCACTTAATTTCTGATCATCATCAGCCATCTTATTTTTTTAATTCTTAAAGAGTCATGAAGGCGTTGAGAAACTTTGTAGCTGGTGGCCAGAAGATTTTATCCCGACATGGTCATAGTGATAGTCTTTCGGTTCATGATCTGAAGATGGCATCTGGTTTACCAAACCTGTCGGAACAAATGGGCCATGTGGCTTCAAATCCAACCAGCAGCATTCCTGGACCTGCAAGTCTACCTTTAATAGGAGCATTGTGGCAATATTTACCAGGAGGTAAGAGAACTTTGTTTCGCTAGTTTCCTGAAATCTGGTAGTCGAAAAAGTGAAATTGAATTGGATTTAACGTCGTACCTTTTTGTAGCAACCGGAGTGCTACTAGGGACGTTTTGCACTTAGGCGTGTCCGCATACTCCTCATCGAAACTCATTTGACAAGGGTTCCTTAACGTGCAAAAGGCGCCTCGTCATCTAAATCCGGCGTATGGTAATAGTATGATATACATAATATTTTGACGGTTGTCTTCTCCTTCATAGTGACCCGGCATCTTTAATGTATTCCGACATTTTGGTGTTTAGGTAGATTTTATGGATTGGATTTTAATGAATCTGTGAGGCGGCTTCAAGGTCTTTATGGTGATATTGTAAGAGAAGAAATAGTTCCGGGATTCACAGTTATACGCCTTTATAACCCAGAGCATTTTGTTGATGTTTATAAAGCGGAAGGAGATCTACCAACAAGGGCGCTATTTGGCATGTTAAAACGTTATAACCAGCTGTACAACCAAGACGTGCAGGGACTTCTAACAAGGTAAAAATGTTAAAATCATTACATAATTATGAGTTTAATTTTAATACGTGACTCGCAGAGAAGTTGTTGACGTACTTGGTAACCCAGATATCAGGCCCAGATTAAAGGCGTGCTAGCTGGGCTGCAGCCAGGGGCCCTAATATTAAAGGGGCCTCCAAATTAGTTCTAAAAAGAATAATGTATTTTATCTATGTGATTGTGACGGGCAATGGGCACAATATGCCCTATGGGCCCCATGCAACTTTAATCTAGTCCTGTCAGACATGCCATCATCGTATAGATGTCTTCCAACTACCACATTATGGTTTGTTATTGACAGTATCTGACTGACTCTCGGCGGACATCTATATCTTCCACTCGACTTACATGTACTAATAACACTATAGTAACAATGAGTTTGAAAACAATCACTAGAAAGTGTCCTATTTTGTTTCTCTACTCTCGCCAACACTTTTATTTGCACCCCGTCCCCTTTTCGAACACCCTGTATCCGCCCCTGTTGCCAGCCCACGAAAGTCTATAAGATAAACGCCAAAATTCTGTGGTCAGATTCTGCAAACGTATAACTATTTTACTCTTACTGTTGTGTCTAGAAAACTATCACACACGCGGTCATTGACCCAGTAATATTAACTAATCGTCTCACCACGATTCTAATCACATTAATTGTTTACAGTCAGGGTCAAGCGTGGCAGCACATGCGCCGCGAGATACAGCAGGAGATATCTTCACCACGTGCCGCGAGAGCTTACGTCAAGAACCAGATGTCAGTGGCAGAAGAGTTTCTCGAGAGATTAACAGGATTAAGAGATAAAGATGGCACAGTAACAGACTTCTTACCAGAAATATATAAGTATGTTACTGAAGGTAGGCTATTATGTTATAATTTAATTTGAGACCCGATCCGCCCCTACACACAGGCACGAACCAAACAGTTCATGATGTATACAGGGACGGATCCGGGATTTTTTACAGGAGGGGGGTTTGCCCGGTACCTGGGACAACGTATCTTTAGTGGAAAGGGGGGGGGGGTGTCTGTCCGGCCTTGAAAATTTTTGCGAAATACAGAGAGAAAACCAATTTATAAATTAATACGATGACAATGTGATCCAATTTTATTGATGCAAAGCATTAATTGTGATATTACATATTACATATGGCTATATCATTATCTCGCGCTTTGAATGCCCATCCCATCCCACCATCTGAGGAGAAAGGATAGAGCACACGACCGTGACACTTTTCTCATAAAAAGTGTTGTGTGTTATGTGGGGGGGGGGGGGGGGCGGAGTATATCCCCCTCCCCTCTGGATCTGCCCCTGGTATATAAGATAAGATCAAATAAGATAAGATAATATAAGATAAGATAAGATTTTTTATTGTATCAATGCACCCACCAAGGACAGCATACACAATAAGTAACAGTAATTTTAACTTGTGTGTTTTCAGCTATAGGAATCGTGTGTTTTGATGGTCGTTTAGGTGTTATGGATCCGGACAACACAGAAGGACAACAGTTTATTGAAGCTGTGAGCACATCACTTACGTTAACCCAGAAAGAATTATCATCCATACCGTTATATAAAATAATGAATACATCAATGTTTAATAAATACTGCCGTGCCATGAATATCATTAAAAAGTAAGTATTCAACTAAATCTCTGCATATTTCATGTGTTTATTAAAACAAAGTAATTGAATTTAATACATATTCATAGCTACTTTGGTAAATCTTTGCCAGCGCTAATAATATTTTAGGGAGTCGGGTTCAGGGGCGGATCCAGGATTTTCAGAAAAGGGGCGAGGCGGCCCTCGGTGGGCGGAATGACGGGCAATCAACCAAATCACCAACCGCCTCGTTTCGGAGTAAATTACGACGGGGATCACTACCATTTTAAATTATTTTTGTTTTCCTTTCCCACAAATTGTTCGCCACCGCAAAAATAGGGGGGGGGGGGGCTTGCGACGGGTGCGGGCCCCCCTGGGACCGCGCCTGGGTTTACTCAGTGAGTAAGACCTTTTCTCTCTAACCTGGAGGTGTCGGATTCGCCCCCGGTGTTACCCGAGAATATAGGAATTTTCCGGCACGGTTTCACCATGTCAGTGGTGCAGGACGCAGGGTCTGACAAAGATAATGTCTAGTCGGACGAAAAACCGAGGTCCCGTGTACACATTGGTGTGCACGTAAAAGAACCTTTGACAGTTGAAATCCGAAAATAGAGTAGGCTATACCACCGATCTCCGGGCCAAAAAATCACTCATCATAGTTCATCTCAGCTCAGTCCGTTCTTAAAAGTGAGACGTTAAACCTCATTTCATGTCATTTACATAATATACAATCATGTCCATAATATACCTTCGATGAAGGCAGTTGGTTTCAGAAAACGCCATTCATTTGAATTCGCAATTATTCAAAGGTCATAGCAAATAAATATTAGCTTATGTTTGTTTTCAGTTTATCTGAGAAATATATGGATGCAGCATTTAAAAAGCCATTTGAAGATGATTCGCTGAATCTAGTTCAACATCTTACCTATAAGTCTAAATTATCCTATAGACAAGTCTTTACGTTTCTGAGTGAAATATTCTTTGGTGGAATAGATTCAGTGAGTTGAAGAACGTTTTCTTATTAAAATGGCCGTCACTAGCTGTCCTGTTCTTGGTTTGTTTGGTCTCAGACTAGCAATTATTTGCCCATTGACTTCAATGTTAAATGGCTGTAACATCACAGGCTGTAGCTTTTTGCTCAACATTCCGTTGGTTCCAATCTTTATAGGGACAATGGGGACAACGTTTGGCAATCTCCTCATCATAATAGTGGGTTGACCATTTAGATTTTTTGCTACGCGGATTTGAAGTTGACTGGGGTGAAAATCTGACTTCCGACACAATGATTGCTCTGCAGAAGGACACTTTACACCCCCTATCCCTCCGCTGTAATATCATCAGTATTACCCAAAACTGCTATGAAATTGCAAATTTGATCCCTTTTCTCCAATTCTAGACCAAAAAGTCAACCCAAAAATGCAGGAAGAGGGGAGAAAAAAATTAAGGGAAAAATTGTCTATTTATAACTCGCACTACATTACTAGTCTTAGCCCGTTTGCTTTTTTAGAGTAGCCCCCCCTCCCTCTTATATCTGCTGTCAGACCCTCGGACGCCTACTGTTTTGCTACAGATAGCAAACTGCATATTACAAAAAAACAGTATTTAAATCTCGATAAATAGTCTTTGAAATAAAATAGATCCCATCTAAATCCAATTTCACTCGTGAACCGTTCTTTTATCGTGATATACCAAGGGTTGCTAATATGCTATAATTGGCGTTGCAATAAACGATTGTTTCTATTTCTTTCTGTTGGAGAGCCTGGGTGGTTCATTGGGTGGAATAATATCCGAGGGCCCGTGTACACATTGACGTGCACGTAAAAGAACCCTTGGAGCCAAAAAGTACAACGTTAAGCGTCATTTAACTGTATTTCTATGTCTTTCAGACTGGTCATTGCTTGGCATTTTCTCTCCACGCGCTGTCACGACACCCGGAAGTTCAACAGAAAGTATATGATGAGATTAAATCCTTATCACCACGTGACATTAATAATGGTGCTTTAGATCACACATCTTATCTTAGAGCTTTCCTTAAAGAAACATTAAGGTAGGTTTATTTCTAGTCACCGTAAAACTGAAAGAGACACAATGGCACACTTTGTTTCAGGGGTCTACCCTTGTCAGTGGTGCCGGATGGAGGGCCTGACAAGGGCAGCTGTCCAGTCGTTCGGACGAAAAAGCGAGGTCCCGTGTATACATTGGCAAAATGCACAGGTGGTGCTGGCTTGTTTATCCCAATTATATCTACAAATGATGCCGAGTGTTGACAAATTTTAATTAATCTCATATTTGTAAATACTGAACGGAATTGAACCATTATTGGGCGGATATTCCTTTTAGAGATCTCGCTGTCCTGGAGATCGTGTGTTCGATACCTGCATTGGCCGAGGAAGTTCATCTTGATTTTCCGACGTGGTTACCCTATGTTAGTCGTGCCGGATATATACATTGGCTTGCATGTAAGAGATCACTTTGCATTTGGAATTCGATATAAGAGTAGGCCAGAGTGCCGCTATCCGAGCAAATTTCCCTCACAACATACTGTATCAACGCTATTAGCATATTCTGAAATTCATTGCTTTATAATCATTTGTTCGGCCAGTGTCAAATATGCTACAAATCGACTGTAGTCTGTCCCACACGGCCCAAAATTTCTCGAAGGGACCTCTTACCCCTGCCCAAGCCACCGACAACCCAGCCAACACATAGACTCAATAAAATTTTGGGTTCTTGTTCCCCATGGATGAGATGTAAAGTTTCTTTAAATTAACGACGATTCGAACTGCTATAATACCGAAATTTCAGAACATAGGACATGGGGAATGAGGATGGGGCCTACAAAAAAAGGGTCACAGGTATTTTTGGGGGCCTTAGATAATAAAGATACGTAAAGAGGAATTTTGTTATTTTATAGAATGTATCCTGTAGCACCTGGTTTAGGTCGAACAACATCAAAACCAACAACTATTGCTGGATATCACATCCCAGCACAGGTAATATATTACTTCACATAAATTATTTCATCAAATATGATAAAAGCTCACTTATATTACGGCATACGTTTAATACAATGCCTAATGGTTGTTTCGTAGGGTTGTTGCAAAGTTGGAGAATATTTTATTTGCAAGGATTTAAGACTTTACATAAGTCTGAGAAACAAATATGTTTGGTCAATAGTCTTAGTTGTCCAGAGACATTGATTCTTAGTTTCCCATAGACATAACAACTAATTCTGTGACTGACGCGACAAGCGAGACTAGTGCCACAAACTAAGAGGCATTTAGATAATGTCGGCGATGCATCGTACAGTTCTTTGTCATTGCACCTAAGAATCAAGAACCATCGCTAAATTTCAACTTTTCAGTACAAATGAATAAGAGAGAGAGAGAGAGAGAGAGAGAGAGAGAGAGAGAGGGGGGGGTAGCACTCGACACAAACTAGGTCGTTTCGGGACTTACATATGGTTCAGTTTCATTTCAATAATTCGCTTGCATGTAAGGGTCTTTAAACCGGAGGACCCGGAAAAACCGAAGTGGTTGGACAGGCGGCCCTACATCTTATCACGTACAAGCGGAGAATCAAAACCACGCCACTTGACTCAATGAGACCTTCTGATCCAAAACGCACGCGTAAACCATTCGACCACCCATACAAACCACGCGAATTGACTTAATGGCAGACCTTCTCATCCAACGCGCACGGGTTAACTATTCGGCTACCCAACCCCCACAAACGAATAACCCCTGGAACTGGGTGAGTGGGTTGAACGACACCACGGATAGAAAATGATGAATTAGATATTTAATCATAAACAGAAATATGTCTTACATTTTTTTACTCCGTTGTCGTGGATGGGCAGGTGGATGGGTGCAGGACGAGATCTATCAAGGGCTTTTCATTTAGATGCAAGTGTTGAAATTTTGCGACTGTCCCTTTGCACAGCGAAGCTTTCTGTGCAATATGTTTATTTTTAACGCCTGCCTTCACAGCGTGATATTGTAGACAAACTACGAAGCTTTAAATCTGTTCTGACATGCCCATTGCGAAATGTTATTATAAAAAAACACCAATAATTACATTTTGCGAATTTGTTATACAACAACTTGACTATTGGTTTGTTTTGATTTTTCTTTACAATTTCGTTTTTTTTTTCAGACTAATATTGTTCTTCACTATGATATGGCTGGCAAAAACGGACAATATATAGCTGAACCGGAGAGTTTCAAACCTGAGAGGTGGTTGAGAACAAATAAAACCAACGCATTTCCTTATGTAGCCGTTCCATTTGGTTTTGGACCACGTTCCTGTCCGGCAAGAAGATTAGCATCCCAAGAAGTTTCTCTCATTCTAATAAAGGTTTGTTTGTTTTTAAACAAATTAAAATTTGTTTGAAATGAAATGTATTTTGACATCTTGTTTTTATGCACCATCATCCAGTTAGATACAATCTGATTAAAATACAGATCTATATTTCGTTTCGTTTTTTTATACTTTTGATGGCGTACACTACATGAAGACCCCCCCCCCCCCCCGGTTGTAGTGATAGAGGTCATACGAGCGGCTTTTGACCCTATGGCGTAAGACATTGATTAATCAAACAGCGTTGACGTTTCTAGTGGTTTACCCACAGTTCCGTGCGCAGTAACAGATCGCTTCATTGGTTAATCCCCACATTGACCAGAACGCGGCTTATATAACAACTCTTCCAGATCCTAGTGTAGTGAAGACAAGTAAAACGAAATTTTGAACTGAACTGAGGATGCTAGTTTAATAAGGTAAGGTGGACGAGTGCCATTTCACACAATCTGCCAAAAATAGTATTTTTGCATATTTTTAGACCAGAAAACTAAAATTGACACAAACTGTGATAAAAGGTATCAGAACGATAAAAAGGAACAAGTTGTTAAGAAAATCTGCTAAAATGGATTTATTTGAAAAAATCAAATGATTTTATTTAAAAACAAGGGCACTTGTCCACCTTATTGCACTAGGCACTAGCATCCTCAAAAACAAGGGCACTTGTCCACCTTATTGCACTAGGCACTAGCATCCTCAAAAACAAGGGCACTTGTCCACCTTATTGCACTAGGCACTAGCATCCTCAAAAACAAGGGCACTTGTCCACCTTATTGCACTAGGCACTAGCATCCTCAAAAACAAGGGCACTCGTCCACCTTATTGCACTAGGCACTAGCATCCTCAAAAACAAGGGCACTTGTCCACCTTATTGCACTAGGCACTAGCATCCTCAATTATACACAGGACCTGAGTGTTTCGTCCCATGCGAACGAAAAGACATTTCTTCTTGCCAGGACCTCTGACAAGGGGAAAACCGGAATGGAAAATGGCCCTGAATTAACAAAACATTCTCAAACTTTAGTTAATAATTTTTCACAATTATTCGCCTTATCTTAACTAAAACCTTTGTTGTTTTAATGTATTAAAAACATCAATAAGAAACTATGTGCAAAGTGTTGTGTTTCTGGATCAAATATATTTCTCATAAACAGTGGTTGAAAGTTCAGGTAATTCTTAACTTAAGTCTGAGAATTCTTTGTGAACTAAGGGGGCCCGGTCAGCTACGACGAACGACGAAGACGCCCCGTTATGACTACGTTGTTTCAGAAATCGAATATCTTTAATAACTAGATATCAACTTATACTTACAGATTTTACAAAGGTTTGAAATTGCTGAAAGTAAAAAAGATCTACCAATAAAGATGCAATTCTTGAATGCTCCAGCAGAACCAGTATCCTATACATTTAAAGAAAGACAGACGTGAACTATAAACTATGTTCCATCATCTATGATTGAAATTTGTATTGAATTTCGTCAAGAGAGAGACCGGAAGCTTAAATGAATAAGCATGGTTCAGCCATGTTATCTAAATATCACGACCATATGCTTGAGTTTAAGAGCTTGAGAAATACTAGAAAATAATCTTTCAGAAATTAACTGGTTGGATTAAAGATGCATTATGTAAGATTTAGATAAATAGCTGCCCGCACCTGCTAAAATAATTCTAAAATAGATAATATTAGAAATGAATATATTGCATATTTCAGTCAATTTTCTTTATTCTGGGTGAAGTTATGTGTGTTTGAAGTTTTGACAATATTGTCGCGATTTTCAAGTACTTTTGTGACGTTATTAAACAAAGTCTCGATTATCCACTTTACATGAAATTATTAAATGGCGATCTGGTTTTAATCCATTAAAAATCACGGACATCCGATAGTCTTGAGGGTTTATTATGGGCTTGTCATATGAATAACTGTCTAATTAATTTGAAGCCACGTCAAAGACCCGCAATAGGCAAATTGGGCTCTTACATGACGCATCTTTAAATAAATTTAGTCTTTGCAACATTAGTAGTAGTACATGTAGTTCCTTGGTCGTTTTACGCCGGCTTCCACAATGTCGCATTTAAGAGTGACGAAGCTTGCTCCTGCATTTTAGAATATGATTTTTCAACCAATAGAATGTGTAATTTTTTTTTATGGACAATGTCTTGATGACTGCCTTGTATTATAACAAGCTGGATGAAGGTACCGACAAGTTTTATTTGTATGTACCGATGTCAATCTAGTTAAAATTAGATGTCGTTTATTGTCTTGAAATTATTCCGTATTGTCAAATTCAAAAAAAAAAAAAAATAAATAAATAAATAAACGAAGAGAAATTGGAGTCTAATTTTAATAAGACTGTGGCTTTATTAAAGTATGCTTATGGCTTTTATTGGAAATATAAATCCTTTATTAAAATAATATGTAATTATGAAATTTGTACTAGAAATAGGCATCAATTGTGTCGGCACCGTCTATGAGATTTGGCGATCGTTTGATTGGCATTTAAATAATATGTAATTGTGAAATATAAATTGTTATATTTAAATAATATGTAACCGTGATTCATAATATTTATTGTTTTGTTGTATTTCTTACTTTTCTTATTTTAATAAAATTATGACACACATATATATACATGAATACTTTATTATTTGTTTAGGATATTCTACAACGTATATTTTTAAAGAGGCGTTGTTATGAATGAGATTAATTTTGGAACAATATCTTAATCAAAATAAACATAGACACCCCACCCTCCTTTAGCCAAACATTGTTCTCATAAGAGTCACGTGTTTTCAACGGGCGTTGTTTAAACTCCCTCCAAATCTGTGCAAAATGAGTACGACTGGTATATTGAAGCTAATACGAATATATCTCAGCAATAGCTTGGTAGATAATTATATCCCAAATTTTGCAAAAAGTCTAATGAGAGAGAGAGAGAGAGAGAGAGAGAGATGGGGTTTAACGTCCACTCGACACAAACTAGGTCATTTCGGGACTAACATATGGTTTAATTTTATTTCAATAATTCGCTTGCGTGTAGGGGTCTTTAGCAGTGGGAGGAAACCGGAGGGCCCGGAGAAAACCCACGAGGTTGGACAGGCGACCCTACTCCTTGTCACGTACAACCGGGGATTCGAAACCACGCCAGCTGACTCAATGACAGACCGTATGATACAGCGCAGCACGCACATGCAAACCATTCGGCCATCTAACTTGAACTTAGTCAAACCACGTTAAATTGAAAGAATATTATTTTTACCGGCCTAAAAGCGACAAAACCTCTTTAAAAGAAAATAATTAGATCTATAAATTAAATATAAAAATTTAAGAATATACTAATTTATCACAAAACTCCGAAACATAATTACAAGACATAATTATTCAATATAAATTTTATTATGATACGTAAATCCATTATCGTGTGTTCTATTCTTCAATCGCATCATGGCATAAGAACACTAATTCCACGATCCCATACACCACCCAATATCAAGAACATCAGATCCTCGGATCCCCGTCTGCAAACATCGTCCCAAAACAATAATCAAACATTGCCCTTCTCACAACGCTCTTCAACAAACATCAAAGTCATGCCTAGGACAGCCATTTTGTGTCCGTTCATTAATTTTTGACAAATACCTCCATGCAGTGCCAATCCCTGCTTATCAAAGCGATTTAAATGCAAATCATATTTTGTTTTTAGGTTCCGTTGTGTCAACAGTATAAAGAAGACATGCGTCGTCCTGAACTAGCAGCATAAGGTCGTATTCTCAGCTCTTCCACAATACTCGGTCTCGGTCTTCCAGTACCATTCATCAGACTGATTCCGTGGCTTCCCTGACGTCTTAATACTCGATTTATCAGGTCTTTAAAGCCATTCCGGAAGTTCTCGTTAAATCCACCATAGAGAATAGGGTTGACAGCGGTGTTGGTGTACATTAAGATTATCGAGGTGAAGTAAAATGGGGTATACCACATTGGTAGCTGTAATAAATAAATAATAAATAAAAATAAAAATTTTCTATGAAACGCTATATAAAATAAAACTTCAATTAATTAAGAAATTCTCGATTTTCACATTCGCAAGCCATAATATTTTATCATTTTAATGACAAAATGTTATGGCTTACAAATTTGAAAATTAATTAAAATCAGTTTTTAATCATATTAATTGTTGAATATAGCAGTGGGTCTTTAGCAGTGGGAAGAAACCGGGGAACCCGCGCCACTTGATTCAATGACAGACCTTATGATCTAAAGCGCACGCGTTAGACTAGTAAACCACTCAATCGCCTAATGGAAGCTATAAAAAAATAACTAACCCGTTCTGATTGTTCTTCACGATAAAGTTCATACAGTTTTGTTATTTGAAATGGAACTGTACAGATCATAAATACAATCAACACCGAAAATAACATCTTTACAACCTGAAGATATAAACTATTGTTATTCGACACCGAAAATAACATCTTTACAACCTGAAGATATAAACATTGTTATTCGACACCGAAAATAACATCTTTACAACCTGAAGATATAAACATTGTTATTCAAATGGATCACTTCTAATGCATCATTAGAAAGATTACATTCCTAACGAATAACCCGCGGATAAATCCATTCTGCACATAGAGAGCCACCTACTTCGTACTTCTCAAGCGGAGCTAACTGTAGACAGTTTAGTATGGGATAGATCTCGATCCACCCATCCACTTGCTCATCACCTTCGAGTAAGAACATGTTGATACCGAAAGTTATTTATCATTTTCTAACCGTGGTGTCGTTCAATCTACTCATTCAGTTCTGAGGGTTATTGTGAAATTGCGAAGATCTTATTCATCCACCATAGCCTTTACAATAATATATTTGTTTTACTGTCGAAATGTGCGAATGGTCAGGACTTATGCCTTCAAACACGCGGATGGAGGGGGCAATACAATCCAGATACACTTACCCCAGCACAGCCAGATCAGGGCATCCGGGATCGATTGTCGGGCTTTGTAGCACAAATACCCATCATGCCGACGTTAAGAAAAATTAAATAGATATGTATAGCCCCCAGACACACCCGCCATCCCTTCGACCCCTCTCCTTGGGCGTGACTGTAGATGTTGCACTTACCTTACTTTTAGAACGTCTTTGTATAGCAGATAACGAGAGTTCACCACTACTGGGTACAACTCTATTAAACCTTAAATTCAGTATAATGATGGTATAGAGAATGGTCATCACTATCATTGGTACCCAGTTTAATACTACAGATACCATCGTCCAGAAAGCTCTCTTAGACGTCAGACCATTATCACACTTCTCCTTAATGGTATAAGTCGGCCATACATCGGTACAAAACTTCTCCACATAATTCTTCCATGTTCTTTCCTTGTAAGTGTAGGTGAACAATGGCGCCGATCCTACAGCAATGGCGGACAACCAGATACCAATAACCATGACGCTGACTTTACGTTGAGTAACTCGAGCATTCAGTGGATAGATAATGGCAAAGAAACGATCCCCAGCTATAACCAGAAGGGTAAAAGTGCTAGCGCACATAGCCGTTACTGAAAAGAACCGAAATAAATTGAAATTAAAGTGGATTTAACGTATAGGGCTAAGGAAGACGGGCATAAACCACATCGTGTACTAAGGGGGTGGGGGTACGTTCACACCAATGCGTACCCGGGACCTCATGTTTCCGTTCCGAGTAGACGTGATTCTTTGCCAGGTCCTATTTTCTGCACCACTAACATTTGGAAACCACGCCCGAAAATTCTGAGGAACTTTTTCGGCCACACCGGGAGCGCCACCGAGTCACCGTGCTTCCCTTTTGATTCCTCGCTAAAAAGAATCAAATGAGAACTTCTTGAAGCAATGACAACATCAGACATCTTTGTATCTTATTTTTTTGTGAGACTCGACGTTATTTCCTGTATGTTTTTCCCTGTCGAACTAAATGTCTATAGTCCATTTCTATATTCTAACGAAAGATAGACAATGACGACAATTATTAAAATGTAGAAAAATCGTGGACCATCTTAATTAAGTACTTTTTTTCTAAAAAAGAAGAAATTACTTTGCTACAAAAAGCCGCCATTTTTCAGCACAAAGATCAGATTTCTGTTACAATGATAAAATTTGTCCAATCCGGTTAGTGATCATTATCCAAACTAGGTTTAACAATGATCTGAGTATTTGAAACAACTTACCTTGCAAAAATGCATTGAATTTGCACAGAAATTCTCCAAGTACCCACGTATTAGTGACGTCATCAACGACAACTATCCACATAGGAAAACTCGCCATGAAGAGATCTGCTATGGCGAGGTTAACTATATATAAGTTGGTCGTTGTCCGCATTTTCTTCGACTGCAGCACAATCATAATAACTAGAACATTGCCAATTAAAGCCATCAGTTCTAGCAGTATCACCACGCCTATCTTCAAACACAATTCCCATGTCTCAATCTCTTTTTGTTTCCCAGGGAATTCAATCATACTTAGGTCTATCTCAGTCTGTGATGGACACTTCATGTTAACGGTTAAATATTACTGTTTTAAGTGCAGAATATATGTAAACTCTAGTTAAAGGAAGTCATCATTATATGTTCATAACATCATATCAATGAATCATTATTCAGTTGAACTACCAAAGGTTAACGGCTAAAAAATACTGTTTGCAGTTCAGAATATAATATATAAACTAGTTAAAGGAATTCATTCATATAATTCGCTGTAGTTCTAGTCCAATAAACTACTAATGAAGTTATTTAATGTTAGATCAGAAATCACCGTATCTCCAATAAGAAAAGTTGAATGAAGGTTATCCTAGAACATATAATATTAGAGCTGAATCTGACATGTTGCACCAAATAAAGAAAACAAATCAAGCTGGTTCATATTGTACTCTTGAGGCATTATCCCTAACCACATAGATTCAACGTTCCACTAACGCTTGATGTCGAAACTGTCCCTGAGTTTGTTCACAATTTATATTTAGAAAATACAAAAAATATAAAAAGAATTGTTCTTTGAAGTTCGTACGCAATAACTAGATTTCTAAAACTGATTTTATGTCATGACTAAACGTCTTCCAAGATTATTTGAAGTCCACGGACCTGTCTGTTCTCATAGACCATCTCGTCTGTGTGTTGATGATACTGATCTATCAATGGGGGTTAGTGAAACTTTTTGTGTCTGAGAGAAATCTGAATAAGTTAAGTATCGTAAATTAATTTTCTTCTATATATTATTCTGTCGTTCAGAAATATTACAAAGACGCCATTTTACAATAAGTGTGGGATTCGCGCACCTGTTAAGTCAGAGATGAAAGGTGTTGAGAAGTGAAATACCGGGTTTAAACAATGTGTCAATCATAAACAATCTAACTGTAAACAAATATTGTCATTAGAATTGATAAATAAATACGTTGAACTTGCGGTTTATAGATTATTCCCCTCTCGGTGCCAGGACGATCGGTGAACTAAAGTCATCAGACCTGATAACAGGAAGGTTATAACAAAAAAAATCCGCCTCTTTTATTTATTGGTCTTTAGTGGTCCAGTATCGATACTGGAAGTATTAAAGTCCCATTGCGTCATACGAATCCCTTGCAAACTGACCGGCATTGTTTTCTCTTGTCAGTGGTGCAGGACGGAGGGCCTGATTAGGACACCTGTCTAGTCATTCGGATGGGACAAAAAATCGAGGTTCCGTGAACACATTGGCGTGCACGTAAACGATTCTATGGCAGTTGTTTGGGCAAAATTTCCCTCATAGCACACTGTATGACGTATGTCCGTCTTCATTACCCCAGTCGGAGCAGAACAGAAGGACGTTAAACCCCATTTCATTTTCATTTCATTCCCTTGCAAACTATAATATTATGAAAGATTTGTCTCTCTAATAGGAATATCGGTCCAAAATGGTCCTATTCCGTTCGTTATTTACAAAGATATGTTGAATTGAAATTTCATAGGTCTATGCTATAGAAAGCCAGCCGCCATTTTGTTGTAGGTGAACAGAAGTGTTAAACATGTTTTAAATCTGACTGAATGTGAGTAATGAGGTTATCTAGTATTGATATATTGATTTTGTTTTCTTGATTAAATGTTAAATAATCAGTCGGCGTACATATTAGCTTTGATTAAGCAATGGTGTTCAGCGAATAATGCAAATGACGCATCGTTACTTTAATATAACTTAATATAATCATATGCATGCTTAACGACCAAATGCTATAGAATAAACGGTAAATATAGGCTTTGAGGCAGACCACAATAAAAAAAAGTAATCTTACACAAGCATGTTGTTCCAATAGTTATTAATATCTGATAATTCCTACATTAAAGTATGGCCATGCGAATTTCACTTTACCTTCTGTTGATTCTACCCGACTCCTTTATTTCTCATGGGAGGGGGGGGGGGCACTGTGGCTTAGTGCGTAAGACGTTGGCTCGCTAAACTGGAGGTCTCGTGTTCGATTCCTCTTCTTCAAGATTTTCCGGCGTAGGTCCCCCTTGGCAGAGGTGCAGGACGGATGACCTGGCAAGGGACAACCTAGAGTTGTTTGGATGGGACGAAAAACCGAAGTCCATTACAATCTAATAATCTTCGACAACATTCTATCATAATTATATAGGTCAGATTTCCCAACTTTATTTTAAGAAAAAAATTTGTATATGGATTTTTTTAAAAATATTGGCAAAGGAATGCAAAAATATTTATTTCGTCATATTTAATCCGTATCTCATAGATTTCATTGATTTTAATTCGTTAATCAAGAGACACATATTTTTTGTACTCCTTTTTTTTCTGGATTAGCAAAATTTCATAAAATGTCGATATTTTGCTTTTTGATGAAGCAAAGCAAATAATAGATACAAATTATCATTTAGTCATTGTTATTATTTTTTCAATACTTTTTTTCATAAAAGTAAAATATCAAATGTTTCCGCATAAGTTGATAAATGAAATGAAATGCTGTTTAACGTCTTACTTTTCTGTACCGACTGGGATAATTACACGTGTAGCGAATAAAGGTTCGGGTCAGAATCTGGTTTAGCCGATTTAAATCGCAGCAAAATATTAAATCAAATTGTGTTTACCGATCTACTTTTCTACCTCAATCGTACTCATATAGACGGGTAAAAAAACAGGCCAAAAGAGAAATTTATCTTTGGGGAGAAACATTTCCTCATTATTTACTACTAAATAGACAGTTACCATGACAATTTGAATTAACAAGCTCTATGATACGGACTAATTATCATAAAGAACAAAAACAATACTTCGTGACGAGAGCCATATTGGACTATTATATCGAGTGCTATAACCTTTATGACTTCATTCATGTTTCATACGTCATCACATGCAGACAAACTACGTCAAATCTGTCAATATATTCGATTGATATGCATTATGTAACTACAATTGATGGGCATATTGTTTTAAAAATACAGTAATCATGATGATGCTGAAAGGGGCCTGCCAGTCTTTGTGCCTTTATTTGTGAGTTATGTCCCCTTGTCTATGATCAACAGTTAGACTATCATTATTATAGGACACAGCTCAGCAAATATTCCTACGCCGTCACCCAAAACTATTTTTAGTCTTTCTCTCCCTTTTCCTTTCCCCCACTTTTGCATGGCGATTTTTGTTGACCTTTTGGTGTAGAATCGGACAAAAGGGCTTGAAAATACATTTTCTGCTAGGTTTTGGTGAATATTCATGATTTTGAGGCGGAAGGATACAAAAGTTGAGAGGTTGGTTAGGTTGAAATGTAGGGCCGAAAATTGCATGTTTACTTCCAGCATGTGCGTCTCAAGTTTTTTTTATGAAGAACCTCATACGTGCTTTTGGGCAATAGGTTGCCACATGTTGCTCCATCTGTGATAGAAAGCGTTCCACCAAACGAAAATTTGGGGTAAAGTTAGAGCCAGTCTAAGAAACAAAAAATAACATTAAAATGAATTCGGAAATCATTAGTGATCTGTGGCCGTTTATTATTTCCTAGCGTTTTCCGAAATCTTACCCGGTTTATCGCTCTTATATCTTTTAATCGTTTACGTTCTTATTCATGATTTTAACTGGCCGACTATCGCTATCAGGAAACGGTATTCAGGACATGACCACCGCCAAGACCCTGTCGTATTATTTCTATTGCATCTTTCTTGAGAATCGGGAGCCACGGTGGCTAGGTGATTAAGACGCTGGCTCGCTAGCCTGGAGGTCGGATGTTCGATCCCAGCATTGGCCGAGAAAGTTCATCGGGATTTTCCGACGTTGTTTCCCCTTGTCAGTGGTGCAGAACGGAGGGCCTGACAAGGACAGCTGTCTAGTCCTTCGGATGAGACGAAAAACCGAGGTCCCGTGTATACATTGGAATGCACGTAAAAGATCCCTTGGCAGTTTGAATTCGATATAAGAGTAGGCGATAGCGCCGCTGCCCGGGCAAAATTTCCCTCATAGCACACTGTATGGCATATGGACGTCTTCATTAGCCCAGTATGGGAGCAGAACAGTAGGACGTTAAACCCCATTTCAATTCATTTTCTTGAGAATCATTGTTGTTGGTTATTTGAGTGAAGCGTGTATCGTTAAAGGCCCGGTACTGTATGGCGCAATGGACGCTTATGGGTGACCTAGGCTAGTCAATATCGCACAACATCAGAATTAAAACGAAATTGACTGCTAGGTTATTGTGACGCGTGCATAATGAAGATGGGCATACGTTATGCAGTGTGCTATGAGGGAAAATTTGCCCGGACAGCGACTCTACGGGCTACTATTATTTCGAATTCTGTTAATTGTTCTTTTACGTAAACGCCTATGTACGCACTGGACATCGGTTTTCGTATCATCCGAACGACTACACATTGTTCTCTACCAGACCCCCGTCCCCCGCCCCCCACGTCCTGCACCAATGACATAGAAAAGCCACACTGGAAAATCCCTGTTTCTCTCCTTTACTCTCTGAGTCACCATGACTCCCCACGTGCATAAACCATCTATTTGACAGTCGTATTGCTTGGCTGATAAGAAGACACTAACGGCGAAACAAAACTATAAAATACACCCACAACTCCAATAGCCCAAACAGTACAGCTGAAAATAACTGAAAGTACTGCATTTAAGACAATACTGAATTGATTTAGCCCAATCTTGACAAAAGTCATAATTCTTTTGATGACACACACGGAGAGAAATGGGGTTTAACGTCCACTCGACACAAACTAGGTCATTTCGGGACTAACGTATGGTTCAATTTTATTTCAATAATTCTTTTGCGCGTAGGGGTCTTTAGCCGTGGGAGAAAATCGGAGGACGCGGCGGATCCCCCTCCCACCCACTTTTGACGACAGTCTGACTGCAGTGGCAGCAACACACGACCAAATAACACTGTACACAAGTTTAAAACTGGATGGCGTAGATATAAAGAAAGTCAATCAAAATTGATTGAATAATAAACTGTAATCAAGTTGAAATAAATAACTTTGGGTTGTTCGCTAAATTGGAGCAATGAGTCGTAAAGC